GTATGGATGAATCCAGCAATCCATCTCACTAGGCTTCACAAAAGCAGCTCCGCCGAAGAATAGAATCTTCTCCGCCGTCGTCGCCGCCGCAGCCGCTGCTGCCCCTCTTCTCCTCTATCGCGCTTTTGTGAAGCTCTATTAACAAACAGTGAAGTACTGGACGCGCCTGGTTTCCCTTTTCGGGCGCAAGCGATACGCGTCCGCAGGCAAGCAGGGAAACCGACGGGGCCACTTGCGAAGCCGAGACCCTCGTCTCATTATAAAGATTTTATAAAGCGCCGGGCTTCCCTGACCGGCGTTGCTTGAGCGGAATAAAAATAACTTGAAGATGAACAAGAGGACATGATAAATAATAAGAGCCGACCAGAGTGAAAAACACGCCGCCGCGCATACACATTAACTCATTGACTCCTGCTGTGGCGTACACTCAGAGACTGTGGAACGGAAACGAGAACAGTAATTCATTGACCTCGAGACGGTGCAAGAGGAACGAGGAGCATGCAGCGGAACGCCGTCTGCGTTTTCAACGGGAACTTGAAACTCCATCTCTACGTATTGTATTCCCGAGGATTCGCTCCCGTAGGAACGGCATCCGAAACGCAAGCGGTCGCATTCAGGTTCCCTGAGAGGTTTCCCTTGGCGCCTAGCACCGGTTCGCGATTCTCGACGCACTCTCTTTTGAAATTCGCGTTCTCGAGACGTCCCCCGAGCGGTCAGACTGACGTGCAGAGCTGGTGTCATTAAACGCTCGTGTGTGCGCCCCTTGCGAGACCCCGATTGCTATGCTCCTGCCCTCATTCTCCTGTTCCTCCTGTTCTCTTGCTCTCGACTTTGATCCATTAAATCATTAACAACTGATTAACATGGCCATCTTAACCATCTAATTCGGAGCGCGAGATGCGGCTCCGAGGCGCTCACCGTCAGCGCGGCTGTGGTTAACCAGGTACCAGTGGCATCGCACCAGAGCCTGGCTCATAAAAGTCGCTTCGCATTTGTATGAGACATAATGGAAAAGGCTCTCCAGCAGCAGCAGCAGCTAAACAACGACCGCTTTTGTCTCGCAATTAAACTCTGCCAGTCATGCAAAATGATGACGCGTCCGTTGTTTTGGCTGCGATGACTTAACCTTATTAAGGACGGGCGATGCCCGGTCTGCCACGGGGGCTGATTCCGCGAAAAATTCCAGCGTCCACATTACAGCTACCCGGAAAGCCCAGACGGTTAACTGTTAGCTTCAGATGCATGGGTTCGACCGCGAGCATTTCAATCGCCCGTCACCAGGTCTCCGATCTTCGGAGCAGGAGAGCGTCACCGAAGCTTTCTGGATCGGAGTGAGAAGCGTCATCGTGGAAAAACAGAGCTAGCTCTGATCAGAGGGCGGAAAATCGTTTGTAGGTTGCCTTTGCTGACTACTTACATCACACGCCCGCCAGAAACATGTGATGCGATCCAATCCGACCGTTCTCAGCCTCACCGACTGACATGGACCGAAGCTGCGAGACGGAAGTGTGCGCGTGTTCGAGCAGGACCTGGTAATTCATCATCGCGATAAGGGTCAGGGTGGCTACTGATAGCAGGACACATACAGCCTCTCTCTCTCCGCCTGTCTATCGTTCACCCGCTCGCCCCACTCACTCATGGAGTGTTTCCCTTTCGGAAGAGGCAAGGGGTAGCTAACCAACTTACCTCGGACCGATCGCGACGGACAACAGGGACTCACGTGGATGTTTTTAAATAGTCGGCCACGCGAGGAATGTGGCTGACGAATGAAGGACGGAATCTGCAATGCGCACCGATCGATCCAAGTGACTCGAACGACCAGAAAATCTCTTTCAGACAGAACGGCGCTCGTGTCGGTACATGTACCTAGATTTATTTTGTCGCGAAATCCGGATTCTCCTGAAGTCCACGAACACCTTAATGGTGCCTTCCTGTTGAATCACCGATGTGGCTCCGGTAGAGCCCGAACCGGCGTGTTGATTGACTGACGGACTCGCTCGCTCGTCGGAAGTGTATGCAAGCGCACGAGCGTCTCGTCATTTTTTAGCCTAAAAAGTTATCATGAATTTTATGAATAACTTCAAATGAGCTCTAATAGCGCTCGAGATAAGATTGTGGTTTTTGTGTGAGTCGGGACAAACGGAGTGAGACTTATATCAAGGCGAGTGAGCGGGCGGAAGGGAAGAGCCGATGGAAGCTTGTAGGGTGTGCAACTTGCCTGCTTGAGGGAACCGGCAGGGGGAGAGAGAGGACGGGGAGCTAGACGACCGAGGAGTCAAAAGGATTCAAAAACTCCGTCTGAGTGTGGCTCCATCTAAATTTAGTATTTCCGGTGCAGTGGAGAGAAAGTCGGTCTGGGGATAAATGACACCACCACAACGGGAGTGATCTACCTTTCGCAACACGAGTATCAGAACGGCTTTCAAGTCGCTCGTAACTCAAACTCGGTACACATAATCTTGAAAATTATTCTGGCTCCTTGGGAAGCTTCCCGAATTCACAAATCACGCAGAATATGATCGAGAATTCGCAGTCGATGTGAAATTCTGCTCTCGGTGGCCTATGGTAGAAAACGGGACAGGGCGCGAGCGCTTCGATGTCCACAGAGACACGATTGCATATTACGAAGCACGTTGTAGGGGTCTAATGGCACAATCGGCTCTCAGTTGATGAGCTCGTTGGACAGGTGGTGATGGAGATTCGGCCTCGATGACGAGGGCGAAATCGACGGGTGATTGGTATTCATTCCGTGTGGATCAGAGCTCGTAAACCTGTTGGGAGCCTGAATACGAGAGACATTTAAATCCCATCGCTCGCCCTACTCTTGGAGTTGAGTGAACCCGTTTTCTCCCGTGAATCGACGGACTACCGCGGCGTTAGAGCTCGTATAGTATTTTACAGTGCCTACCGGAGAGTCTTGCGGGGAGGGGGGACGTTCGATGACTGCGAGCTCTCGTAGACGCCTCTTCGGTGCCGAAGAGAAATTATTTGGGAATTTACGTAGAGACGTCAACCTAGGTGAGCGCTAAAACGGAAATAATAACGAAATGGGAGTCGAAAGGATCATTTCACGCGAGCTCGATGATTTCGACGTGGAAAAACAGCGAGATTCGGGGTCGCGGCGCTTAGCAACACACTCAGCGCGAGTGAAAGAGCGCGTATCCACCGCGGTAACGAGAGATATGGCTGCCCGCAACTCGTGCCGCTCTATGATAGAGTCGATTTCGTGAAAGGGTCTACTTTAATCGAACAGCTGATTGATATTCTATTCGAGATCCCATTAGCTCACGTATGCCTACACCCCGCTAGTGCGATCGTTTCCGCTAGCATACGCGCAGAGTTCAGCAAGTGACCAGGATACTCCCTGGTCGAGAGGCGGGGGAAGGGAGAGGAGCGGCAATGCCCGAGGCAAGCGAGAATAACATAGTTAGTAGATGATCGACCGGCACCGATGATTTCGAAGATGATACTTCGTTTTGGCTCGAAACCACTCCCAAATTGGTCATCGGCAGAGGAGGAATTTTGGCAGAAGCAACAATCGAGAGTGACAGTCCTCAGCTAGCCAAGATTTTCTGCTGCCACACCCACCGCTCGCCGAACTGTTCATCGGAAGCAGCGGAAGTCAAGCAAAACGATGGGAGAATCAAAAACTGACTCTGAGCTTCAAAAGAAGTCTTCACCAGGGATTGACCCCGTAAAATCACCAGAAAAGATTGATCACGTCTCGTTTCGGATAAGGAGCCACGATGCGGAGACACAAAGCTGGAAATTCCGGGAAAATCCTGCGCATGCCAAAGTAAACAGATTCGAGTTACGAACGAAGGTCGGAGTGAGGTGCCGTCCTTACTTGTGTGTCGAAATGTTTCGTTGGTTGGGCATCCTTACATCGGAGCATTGTCCGCCAAGTATCGCTGGAAACGCCGGAGGAGAGCGATCTGCATCCTTCGAAGTCGAACGAAAATATCCACATGCATTCCTTGATTTTTCTTAGCGGAAGAGACAGGAGTGTAAATCGGTATTCACTAGTTTCTGCGAATATCCGGAATACTAGGATGATTATAATGAGGCGGCTTGACTAATGATGGCGAATAGTGATGTCACGTTGTAGACATGATGATGATGGACTATGTGGATGGACCCTTCCGGGTCTCAAATCTGATTATTTTTCCCTTAATTTTGGGCACGCCACCGATCAGGGGGTGGGGAGCCCTGGAATTCCACGTCTCAGACGCTCCAACCAGGAATACCAGCGCCCGTCGGTAGAAGAGTGGGGAAAACCGTAGTGAATATCATCGAGTTAGACAATGACGCTCCGGGCTCTGAATTCGGGCTCGGAACTTTTGGAGGGACTTCATCCGACGGTGGAATGAGAGATCGGCGTCGGAGCAGTTATGGGCCAGGCAAAAAGCTGTGCCGAATTTAGGATTTTGCTGCCGTAAGGCTAATCTCAAGCGGCCGCCTACCCTAATCAGGGAGGGGTAGGGAGACTCAGTATTAGGATATCTCAAGAAAATTCGCCGCCTAAGGTCATAGCCTTCTCAGCCTACCTGGGGATCCGGCACTGGCGGAAGGGTAACGAGGGAAGAGCATGGGGTCGTGGACTTTCCTTTTTCCTCAATCTGCGGGATATCCGAACTGATAGAATTAGCATACGGTACAAACAGATTTATGGTTCCACAATCTGCACTATCTCAAGATCGGAGCCTTATCTCAGTTCCCGAAGACAATAACAACGATTATCGGCGCGAATGGATCTCATGGCTCGAGACGTCCCGACGTTTCCCCTGAGTCCAGAAGAATGAGAAATATTTCGATCAGGAAGCAGATCGAGACGAAGAATTTCCATGCGAACATTCGGATCTGCTCGAATGAGATTCCCGAAAGTAAAATAGAATCACGTACGATCGGAGAGGAAGGGTGACACGTATCTCGGAATTGGAAGAACATGCATATCTTACTGTTCCTATATAACTAGGAACGTAACCAGAAAGCCTCACGTCTTCTGACGAAAGTTGGATTAACAAGAAGATCATGAGGATCCTCATCGTGAGCACTGATTTATTGTATCTCGAGACATCCGAGGACCTCCAGTCCCGGACTGACCTCTCTTTTTCTGATTCCAGGCTTTGGCAATCGTGGTAGCTTCGCTCGCTGTCAGCGTCGCCGGTTACTGGGGCGGATCTCTCGGCTATGGAGGCTGGGGCGGATACGGGCACACTGTCTCCTCTTATCCTGTCGCTGTCAGCTACGGTCACGGATACGGACACGGCTACGGCTCCGGATACGGTCTCGGCTACGGCAACACAGGCTACTACGGAGGATACTGGAAGAAATAAATCCGCATCTGGACGATCGATCCGCTGGGAATAAAATCTCGGAAACCGCATTCTGAAGCGCTGCGTCTGATTTTCTGTCCGACCGCTTCTGTCATCTGAGAATACGTGTCCCCAGTGCGTTTAGGAAGCGACTTGAGTCCGTGCGTTATTTCGTTGCACAAATCATTCCGAGAACTCAACCGAGAATCAATGTTCCGGAACACGACCGTCCACAGAATTTCCCTCATATAGGTGGAGCGAAGAAGCAATTTCACACGGCTCTAGAGGGGTGTCCGTCCACGAAAAAGCCCTAAACAATGACTCTCGGTGAGTTTCTGGTGATTCAGAGATTTCACTCGAGGTCCTCCGCGGTGTAGGGCGCTGTCCCTGTTTTTTCTTCGAAACCGTGGACCCAGAAATCCTCTTAAGGAGACCTGAGCCACATGCCAGGCTAGTTGCGCTTCCGAAGCCCCCCTTCGTGCGTCTTCGAAACACAAAAAGTGTACTGAGTACTGTTCTGTGTTTTTTCTGTCCACTCACCCTCAAGAAGACTGTACCACTGTGACACTTGGATTGGAATGGCTTTCCCGTCCTTGACGAAGCCATCGCTTTTTTGTCGTTTCGGCACCCGAGCTGTTGCCACACTTGTTGTCTTGTCATCTGCTCGATCAGCCCCAGAAGTCTCGTGATCGAGCACGGTCCTCGCCATCGAGAGCTTCTAGTTCCATCAGTCCGTCGACTCAGATTATCTCAGATCCCAGTCTTGAGTTCCTCAGTTACGAATATGATCGACTCCACTCCTCATAGAGAATTAACCTCTCCGGATAAGGCCCATCGTGATCCAGGCTGGCTTGATCGAGCATCTCAAGATTCGACCCAAGAGAGATCTAACTTCTCACTGAGACCTCGGACCCATCGGGATGAGTCGCTTTGTTCTCGATCGATTCTGGAGTTTTGTCGGCGAATTCTCCGATTACAGCGTCTGAAATGTTCGAAAGCGTAGTTTCTCATGTTCGTGTCATTATGTCGATCGAGAAGTGCAGGTTGTCGCCGAAACTCAATCACACCTCATGAGTGTATTCGGATCCGAATCGAGGTATGAACTTTGCCAAATGCGACTTCCACCGCTGCCAAGTTTGATGTTACGCACAATGCGCAATGATAGTTCTGTTTGTCGGACGGGACCAGAACTTCGTTCCAGCTTCGACGAAAGTCAGAAAAAGCATCGATTCTCGTGTCGTCGTTTCCCACGTGTGTTCTGTCCAGGCAAGTACCGGGGGCGAGCAAACCTCAGCCTTCGGTCCACAGAAAGCACAAGAAGTAAATTGTGTTCGAGAAACTCTGTCGATGTCCAACATCTCCTCCTTCCGGTGACTCAAACAAGAGAGGGTGCGTTGAAAATTGTCGAGGGCCGCCGCCGGACTCCTCGGTATAAATACTCGCTGACCGCTGATCATATTCATCATAGCTAACCAGCTGCTGCATCACCTGATAGACTCGACATGAAGTTCACCGATGTAAGAGCCGCCTCGGAGCCCTTCTGACTCTCGTGCCAGAGTTCTCGTCCTCTGTCCCAGCTCTCGACTAACATAAAAGTGTTTCAGATCTTCGCTGTCTTCTTCGCCGTCTTCTGCATGGCTTCAGCCTCCTACGTAGGCGTAGGCGCTCCCTACGCCGGCTACGGAGTCGGATACGCCGCCTACGGTGTGCCAGTAGCTGCTGGCTACGGAGTGTACGGAGCTTACCCTGCCGCGTATGGCCTTGGCTACGGCGGATACGGCTACGGCTTAGGATACGGCGCCGCCTACCCGGCTGCCTACGGCTACTACGGACTCTTGAAGAAGAAGTGAGGAGTGGACTTGGCCGAAAAAATTGTTTCATTCTCGAGGCGAGCACAAAATAAAGCCATGAACTCATTTTGCGATGTTTCTCAATTCTCGCAAAGTAGATCGAGTTCTCTGTCACGCGATCATTGAGTCTCGAGGTTTCGATTCCGAAATTCCGGATCTATTTCGTTCTCTTCTCCGGCGGAAATTGATCACCAGCTTGAGGTTCCTCTAGAAGATTCCGGCTCGTGACATGACGGAAGGATTCAATCGAACGATTTTTCGCGCGATGATCCTCTCGTCAGAACAGCTCAATGATTGAGGAACAACTCAAGTTGTTGTAGGCTTTCATTCGAAGGGGGTAGGCGAAGCGGCGGGGCACCTGGAGCACAAAGGCTGTAGTGTCCACTGAGATAGACGTCGTTGTTGATTCAGCTTGCGATCTGTTGGGCAGCCTTCAACGATGTCCTGTAAGCCTTTAGAGCTTGATTCGATACTGCTTGCCGGTACAACAAGAAAGACAGGATTCTCCTCTGAAGCGGCTCCCGCGTTGAGTGACTGACTGACTGACTGAGTGACGGAAAGGCCGAATGGTGGGCGGGCGAGCAGTCGGTGGGCCGGTCGGTCGTACGAGCAGGCAGTCCGACTGGGCTTGCATCTCGTGGCAGGAGCACAAACGGAAGTCGAGATGGCGGCGGAGGACAGGCAAAAGGGAGAACAAAACGAGAGTCACGTTCAACCGGGCGTAAAAGCCGGCGCCGCTCTGGAACATCAGAACAGCGGTGACTTCCGCCTCGAGTCCGCGATGCATCCGGTCTGTTTATGTTTATTACAATGCATCAGCCTCCTTCTCATAGTCACTCATCTCACCGCAGTTCTGTTCTCCTGTCCGCTCCCTTCTCCTGCTCCTCTCCTTGATATTTCTGCGGCACCCTTGCCGACCTCACCGTCAAGCGGGAGAGAAGCGCCCGCAATATGAAGTCCGCTTCCGGTAACGTGCCCCCATACATCAACACCTGCGCTGGCATCCTATCGGACAAGCCATGCTTTCCAAAAGATTTCTCCAACGGAGGCAAAAAGTCAATCTCACTCAACAACCGGACGACAGAGCAGTTCGCGCCAGACGACACTCCACAGACGAATCGGGAGCCGCCTCGTCGTGCGAGGAGGGGCGGGTGAGGGGGGGGGGCGGGAATTATGGAGGAGCGAGTTTTCGGATTGAGTTCTCATTCAACGATCGACTCCGATCGCTCTGTATCTCAAGCGCACGCCGCGGCATCGTCCCGGCAGGGCGATCGTCCCGCATTCTATCGCACAGAAGCCGAGCCCCAGGCGACAGGTGATCTCGGGAGGAAGGCTTAAGGAGTGGCTTCGAAAAATTCGAGAAACGGGGAGGAAAGTGGACGGAGACGAACAGGAACGCCCTTGATGGAGTCCTGACGTGCGCTGACACATCACTCGAGCGGGTCTCTCCTCAATTTCGAGCCAATGCGAATACAGAACTGCAAACGAAGGCGCTCTAATGTGTTTGGTCGGTACGCAATCATTCCATTTCAACACTTGCTCCACCTGCTGTTTTAAAGACAGAGTGAGCTGTCCAAATGAACATTGCAATGATTACTTAAGAAACTCTGCACAGGCCGATCGCACGATTCTCTGTCGGTGGAATACGAGTCTCAATCCTCCTCGCGATCACGGGCCGTCGGAGCTGCTCTCCCGTCTCCTGTGGGGCTCGCTTCAGCGAGAGTATTGTAGGACAGGCGAATCGCGTTCGACGCTCTACGAGCGGCGATTCAAGCGGAGTATACGACCGATCGCATTTCATCTGTCCGCTCCAAGCTCTTGTCGGTTCTCATGAGTAGTTCCGAATGAGACAATAATTACCATCGAGGCTCCTGGAAGAAGGGGAAGGACGAAATGGAAAAGACGATCCGGAGAGATATATTTCCTAGCAACACGCTCCTGCGTCGAACTTGTTGAAGGTCGCTAATTCGAGAGTTCCAATCGACATGGGATCTCTCTAAAGTTCGCCTCCACTCCAAACGCTCAAGAGACATTTATCAAAACCATCTGTGGATGACTCCTTGGAGCGTTCCGCTTCTTACTGTCATCACACAATGCCAACCTGCTGAGAAGATGCGGATGTCTTTCGAAGAGTGTAGTGCTTCAGACGGATCGCTTTCAAGGCAAGAGTCAGTCACTCTGGACGCTCGATTAGCGGGAATTCGCGATTGATTCAACTGAGCATTAATTTCTTTGATAATTCTGATCTCGGGAAATTTCATGTCCAAAGCGACGATTCTCCTGGGCGGCGCTCACTGTCGGCATGTTCGATTGCTCGGATGATAACTCGAATCGCTCGCCGCATCTCCTCTCGAGGGAGCAACCTGTCCAGAGCAAAGGTTTACCTAAAAAATCCGCAGAGAATAATGCTTAGTTTGCTTTTCATCCCACGAGTGGAAGCGCAGCATAAAGATGGACTCCAACCGGCAACAATGCAGAGCGCTCTATTTTTGTCCTTGGAATCCTACTGGGAGAAATCCGAGAAAAGAGAAACTTGAGACGGCATTCTTAAAATCGAGAGGCGGACACCGTTTCTTATGTCTCCAGTCGAAAGCATCAACCGTGGGGGCGAGGCTCGTTTCGAGCAAGCGCCGATCCTACGGATTCTTTCCAGAGTCTCAGAAAGTGCAGTTGGCCACCCTGTGATCTCCCAGCTCTCTGATTTCTGCCTCCTCGTCGATTCTTACCGTTTTTTTCTTCTTTCGATCGTTCCGAGGAAAACGAGACGCCCGTTCCGGAGTCTAACAGTTTTCGAAGCTAGGTCAACAGTCATCTTGTCGGCTGGAGCCGAGATTCAATAAAGCGCAGCTCAATATTAAAACATCGTTAGTGCTCCTCGGAGTCAGGTCTCACGGCGACGGACCGATGTGATTAATGTTCTTGTAGTGATGTTGAATCGATCTTGGAGTGAGTTTGCCACAAACTGAAGAGAGAACAGCTCACGACGTTCCACTTTCTTCCTCGTCCCTAGAACGAGTGCTTGTCGAACAGATGGATGAACGTACGAAGCCCCGGGACGCGTTCCTCCTCCATTCTCCGATCACAAGCACGACGAAGTCCATTCTACTCCATTGAATCCAGCGAGCGATTAATTCCGTTTTTCGCATCTGAGTTCAGCCTCAGCTCAACTTGTACTCAAAAACAGAAATCGAGTAGTATTCCGTGACCAGACGTGACCGGGTCATCTTGTCATGGCAGCGGCGGAAACTCTGAAGTTTTTAGGAGCCGTCGTCGAATGTTCGGGGCTGGAATCCGTACTTTTCGCGATGCAGCAATGCATAATTCATGCATCGAGCAACATCGCTCTGTTTGAGTTTCGTGGAGTCTGTCGACGAGTAGGCGGAGTAGAGGAAGCTTGCTAGAAAGGTGGACATGAGGGTAGGTGGTAGTTTGCTTCGTCCAGGGGGGAGCGGGGCTTGTAGTAGTCGTCGTCGTCGTCCTCTGAGTAGGCGCGTGAGTTCGCCCGCGTCCAGCGTAGTGGTTCCATCCGACGTAATCTGTCACTTGCAGGCGGCATAGCGCGCTGCCAGCCTAGTTCAGAAGACGCTCCAAGCAACAAAATCTATGGCTCGTTTTCCATAGGTGCCATGCAGTCGGGCAGCTAGCGAGCACGAGACCGATCACTTCAGAACAGCAGTCTTGCGTGACCTGCCTATTTATCGCGAAGGTACGGGGGGAATCCACCGCAAATAAATTCTTCGAGAAAAAGATAGCGGCGTACTACTGTTGTATCTCTGCGTAATGAGCTTTTTTCCTCCCGATCCCGTCTGCTAGGTCTGAACACCGATTTCCGGGGGAAGAAATCGTCACTCGACTCCCGGAGTTGTGGCCAGCGCTGACCGATCGATCGATTGAGATATCGTTTATTTTTCATCGCGGGCGGTTTCCAAAAATATGTATCAAATTGCTCTCCAAGTTGATAATTAGTCTATTATTTGCGTCCCGTCTCGGGAAAGGTCGAAGTTCTTTCGCAGCCTCCCTCTCTGAACTTCCGAGCTGAGGCAAATTGATCTCGAGGGGTTCAAATCCCTATAAGAGTCGCGGTCGGCTCGACCGAGTCTCAGAGTCTTTCAGCCATGGCAAAGGTGAGACGGACGTCGAGAGGATCCTTCAGTGTATCCGCTCGCATTACGGAATTCTAACGACGCAATTTTAAGGGAGCTGTGCTTTGTTCGGTTGTTACTCTCTTCACGATCTCCTTCGGTCATCGCGTACCCTACGACTTCATTGGAGATGTGAGTTCCGTACGGAGACGAGAGCCCCAATGTTCAAAGCGGCTCGAAAATTTATTGAATGCCGATCATGGACTATCTTCCAGGATTTCGACTTGACCGAAAGGCGCCCCTTCGATGACCAGCTGGCCTCCGTCTACGATCACGATCTGATGAGCATGGACCTCCCCATTCGGAAGGGTCTGGTTCGCTTCGCCATCGAGAAACCTCAGAGGAAAAGGTCGGCTCCACGGTCATCGAGGGTCAGATCTCTCGCGAACTTCGTCCGCAAACGAGCGGACTCCACCAAGTCTCGGGAAGTTTGCCCAAGTTTCTCGGATTGGGTCACTCGGACCGAAGCCGAAGATCCGTACGGCAACCGAGTCACTGTTCTGGAGCACGTGCCCATAAATGGAACCCTGGTACGCCAGTACTTCTACGAGACGTTCTGCCATGGCATCGAGTCAACCGAAGAGAATCCGCGACCTCTGGAGAAAAGCCAACACCGCGAATGCCTAGCCATCGACAAGGGAGTAAGTTCCGACCCGTCCAGGACAGACTGAGCTCCAATAATATTCCTAATTCGAAAATATTTGAAATCTGTCGAACGAGAGAAAAGATTGCCAACTAAGAACCAGAGTGCGAAAAATTCCCCGCGATTTCAGCAGTGGAATTCTCGCTGCCGCGAGAACTACATTTGGACCTATGGAAAGGTGCTGAAGGAGGACGGTAAGCTAGGCTGGAGCGTGATTGCCATCCGCGGATCATGCTCGTGTGGTGTCAGCCGAAAACCTCACAAAGGAGGTAACTCATTCGACGAGTCCGAGTGAGGCTTGGAAACCATGTCAGGGAGGCCACCACGATCAGCCCCGTGCTCTATTCAGTCAGTCTCCTCTCTGGTACCTCTCGATATCGTACGCATGAAGAAGAACGCTGAGGGCCGATTTCGTCCTATATCTAACTCTGACTGCGTGACCGTGCGTCGAGTCAAGATACCCAAGTCGGACATCGAGAGGCGATCCTCGAATTCCACCGAGAGCAACTTAACCATAATAAATGTCGTAAACCTTCTCGCAATTTGGGATCAATTTCTTCATTTCAATCTTGAGAAAAATGAGATTCCAGATTGCCATGCAGTCTCGATCTCCATTCGGTATTGGATTGAATAAATTATGGGGAAAGTGTCGCGGTTCCGCCGGCTGTTCCCGAGAGAACAAGAGAAATAATTGAGGGTATTCGAATTCTTCGTGGACGGATTCAAACTCCGAGGACGTCTCGCGCCGGTTCAAAGACTCTCAGCTGCGTGAAACGTAGTGGAATGCATCCATCCGTCGTGCTGCGAGTTGAATGACCCTCTCTCGCTCAGAACATCGAAATCAAAACACAACCTGTCCCCGGGTATCGCGACAGGCTTCGGTGTTTGTCACCAGTCTGGTCTGTGTCGCCGAGCTTTCCAGGAGCCGAGCGAACACCGAACGCGAGCTCCTCTTTGATGTGACCGCCCGCGCAAAAGAAACGCAGAAATCGCGAGAGGCTGTGGATCAAGTCATCATCTCTTTTGTCAAAGATTGCGTTGCTGTGTGGGAACTCATCACCGCTGCTGTTGCGAGTGCTGTTCCAAATCAAGAGACTCCGAGCTCCTGAGCGTAACTAGTCAGCCCAGACGCTAGTCCGAAGCTGCTCAGAGGAGGAACTACCGAGTGAAGGAATTCCCTCAGACTTCGGCCGCACAGCTCATGACAGTCCTCCGACGGAATCGAGACAGACCAGGATTGATGCCACAGGAGTTCTCCGGGGTTCGTCCCAGCTGATGGGTTCCGCGAATCGCCAGGACTCGCCGTGAACAAGAAACGGAAAAAAGCTCCGGCTCTCCATCGAAAATTACTTCAAGGATGATCATTGACGAAAACTCCGACGTTCGATTCCTCTTCGGTTAAGACCAGTCAGTCTGTGAGATCAACTGCGGGTGTCGAAGCGACGCGTATGCTGGAAGTGGCTGTGATTTGTCAGGCTCAGTCGATGACAGATGTGTGAAGTTGTAATCCTGCTCACCCCGGGGCCATTTCTTTGAAACTATCGAATTCAAAATGAGTGCTCATCTGAGCGACCCAGAACGGGATAAGTTCGGCGTTGTCGAGTAGTAGTGGGTCGATCGAAGTACCCGTAGCGTGCGAATTCGTCAGCTCTCCAAGCAAACGAGTCATCCGGTCGAGTGGTGTCGACCTATGTCCGTTGGGAGATATTCTGTCCGTAATCTTTCGGAAGATCTTTCGTAAGTTATACGCGGACAGCTAGCCTTGCAAGTGCTCCGCTAGGGGGCGCATGATATGTCCTAGGATCGATTGTAAATAGTGGCTCGTTCGTCGTATACGTTGGGTGGTGCCAAAGCTCAGAGAGATGAAATGTTAAGTGGTCCAGGATAGCGGTGGGCCGTGGGCTCCGGGAACGGTGGTGATGGTGAACTCCAGACGGGCCAGCGCGCCCGCTAGCTCCGCACTCAACCAGGTAACCCCCAGCGTTTAGGTAAATTCTTCGGATCCTCCTCTAGGAGAGAGCGGAGAGCAGTCTCTTTTCCTCTGGAGACTGACCTAACGGGAGCTGGGGATCCACGATTACCCTGAGCGACCGAAGTGCCCCTACGACGCGATTAGTCATTCCTACTGACAGTGATCTTGGTGAAAGATAGCGTAACATTCCCGCGTAAACTAAGATTAGTCGCAGTAGCTGTAGTTCCTGAGCCATCGTCGACCTTGTGCAGTCGAATCGACGTAGCGACATCGAAGGAGGCTGAAACTCTTTTTCCTACGTTTAAGTTTTTATATATCGGTGGTCGGCGGCGACCTCAACGAACATGATCAAAACGACAATTTACAATGAAACGGGACGAAGTGTCTCCTTGGCACTGCGCAAAGAGCTCACCGTCGAACAAGCCAAAGCTCAAGCGTTGTCAGAACTATCCAGCCCTACGAATGAAAGCACTCGTAGCAGCATCAAATACGGCCAGCAGTACAAACTGGTTTCTTCGAAATCCGGTCGTTCTCTGAACGACAGCAAACGACTCGAGGACGAAAAGCTCTATCCGAACGATGAGCTCCTTCTCCTCCGGAGATACGCGCAGGAGGATCCCGCTACGGGATGCTCGACGTCTTCGTCTCCGACCGAGCAAGCCGCAGTGAAACAGACGGCGCCCGCAGACGAAGAAAAATTCAAAGCACCGAGTCCCAGTGAAATCGAAGCAGCCACATCGAACGTGCCTCCGGCCGACATCGACCGACCCAACAACGAGCCGCCTCCCAAGGGCGAGCATCGCAAGGAAATTCAACGGATCATGGTCACGCTCGTCGAGTACTCCGAGATCCTACTGAGGGACCATCCGGACGTGAAACCGATTTTCGAAGGTCTACGGGCGAAGATGCAGACGTATCATTTCGCAGGCGAACCGATCGTCGACCCCGCACTCATAAAAAGATTGACAGACATGGGTTTTGAGCACCATTTAGCAAAACGTGCCTTGATTGCCAAAAAATCTTGTCCCGCATCCGCTCTCGAGCTGCTGCTCTCCGGACAACACGACGCACTTTTCGCTAAACCGATCACGGGAAAGAGTTCGAAGGTACCGAAGGCGTTCGCGATGCTCCAATGCTTCCAGGAGTATCGACGCAAAATGTTCAAGGCCAATATGAAGGCTGTGGAAGTTCTCAAGGACATGGGATTCTCGGAAGAAGACGTCCTTGACGCTCTTCGAATCCACTCAAACAACCGGGAAGCTGCCTGTCACTGGCTATTGTCCGATAGGAAAGCCACGCCGGAATATCTCGAGGTCGGCCTTGACCCAGAGGGAGCGATTTACAAGGCCATTGTTGCGAACCCGGTCATACAGCTGGGACTCTGCACTCCAAAGGTTTTGATGGCCCTGTTGCAAGTTCTAGAGAACCCACCGTGTCTGAAATGGTGGATCAATGACGCGGATACCGCTGCCCTACTCAGCCATCTGTTCCGGATCTACCATTCGGAAAAGGCTTCTCTGCACGTACAGTGACCGAGCCGCGACTGTCCTACGTCTCCCCTCCTTAAGGAGCCCCCTTGAGACGGACGTTGGCCGGAAGACGTGGGGAATAAATATTCTAACTCGACCGGGGCCACACAAGCTACTTATCTGCGATATGTTCAATGTAGTATCCGATCGGTGGTGACGGAAGAAGGAACCATAGCTAGCGTCGAGCCGATCAAGAAAATTCATCAATATATGGATACATACGTAAATTGTAAACTCCGAGGCGTGTCACACGCGAGTCGTGAAGACAAATCTCGATTGATGGGCTCGAAGATTTTCACCGTGAACCATCGTCGTTAGAGACGGAAAGAGGAGCAAAGCTTTAGTGCATTTGCGGCGTGATCAGGTTGTCCGAATTTCACAGCTATAGTCCCCAGGTGGCGGCACTGAGAATAAAAATTGTGCAATATTTACAACTCGACTCCGAAAGACCAGTTTTTTCCCCGAATATACGTCGCAAGTAAAGGCTTCAAACTCCAATGAGAACCCTCTGCAATCCCGTCGTGGGGCAAGCGGGATGTGCATTGTATGAAAGGAAAAAGAAGAGGCTACATATTCGGACGGAAGAAAAATAATCCTCTGACACATCAGGGATCCCATGAGGTCCCGACGGTTCGGCGCTCTCGAGTGCTCCGACTGTGATCGGGGAGGGGAGGGAGTCGGCCAGCTGCTCACACCAGACATCGTCCCCACTACACACATACATAGGTTATCTACAGAGGTCCTCGGCTGACAAGACGACCAATTTCGATTCCGGAGGCTCGATCAGAAAGTCTGGATGTTAGTTCGCGCCGTTCGCGGCAGCCAGTCTCTATTTTTAGAAACTTCTATCGAGTTCTCTACTCTTTCCAGTTATCGGCGCCCTCACCCAACGTAATCATCGAAGAAAATGAAGAGGTTCGACCACAGAGACGGAAACTGGCGCAATGTCTCAAAGAAGGAGCTCATATACGATGTCTTCTGTTGACGCTCATTCAGGTCTGTGCATTCAGGTGGCCCTCCTCGCTGCAGAGCAAGCAATACGAATCGTGTCTGCTCCTATCGAAACGGTCCCATCTCCGAGTGCCCTCTTCCCGGGATATTCTCGGGACGCGGTCGACTGGCTGAAATCGCTTTGCTGCGAGAATACCGAGAATTTTCCAGATTCATTAGCCACGTGCGCATCTTACAACGAATCGTTCTATTCGGAGTCCCGAGGAGGTTCTTTGAGACGGGCGGCTAAACACTCGATTACCTGTTTGCCGCGTCTCTCGAGCATCGCCGTGTCGCAATCACCGACCGAGTGAAATCGTCGACCCGATCCAATGTGATCCAGATCACGGGGATGGGGAACGGGGCCTAATCCGAATTCTCAAGCAGCTCGGGCCTATTTTTAGCTTGTTTCGATCCGGACTTTTCCTGCGCGCTTAAGCAGCTCAAGCTATACTCGGGGTATTTGTTGTTGTCGACGGTCTTGGTGGTAGTCGAGAAACTCGGGAACCAGGCGAGCCCGAGGGGGTGACGACAGCAGAGAATCTCTTGATCGTTCTGGAATGCTTGCGTGGAGGGGAATGGAAACTCGCCGGAAAGTTCGGCGTACGAAAGCTTCATCCAGAGAAGATGAATAGCGGCAGCTGCAACAACGAGAACATGGAGAGCATTGTGGTTCGAGGGACGTGGAATGAACTTTTTCCACCCGCAGGTGGCGTGTTTGACTGCAATTCTTTGGTGCCGGCTGTCGGTTGTCAAGAGGTACGTTATCGACTATCGTACAATCCCCATTCGGAGACAGGTGCTTGCCTCACCTTGCGGCGAGGCTCAACTATATCTGCCACTCGCCGTGCTCGTTATCGCTTACATAGCCTACCTCGTCGAGTGCTATCACTGTGCGACTAGATTGCAGCTTTTATACAAGGTTCGTAGAAGTTCTTGAACCCCTTTCCCCCATCCCTGAGCTCTTGGAAGTATTTCTCGACTCCTCCGCCTGGACGGAGCTTATACGTGAATTCGGTAGGGCATTCGCGGCTCCCCCCTGGACAAATACCGTATTATGATGCCCTGTAACGAACTCCCCCCACGAAGTGAGGCGGCTAACTTTAGGTCCCGTTCTGAACTCAGGTGAGCTCAAGCACTGTGTATGCGTACATCAACCAGATGCGGGAAGCTCAGCCGATCATCTGGTGGAAGGCGACCTGTTATCATTATGTTCGTCGAAACCGCCAGGTTATCCGCTACCGGAATGGTAGGTCCTATGTGCCCAACATTAATCGGGCTTGGCGTTCACTCCATCCGTGGAGTCCCGAAGATGTCATACAGTAGAGTGTCGATATTTCCAGGCGAGGCCTACGCGACAAGCCAGTCTTACTACGAGCGAGTTAATACACACACCTGCGGGTCATGTTTCTCCTACCAGGGCGTTCGTGACATCAGTAAAAAACTCGTTGGTAAGCCTTAGACGTTAATAACTTATCACTAATTGCATACCGCGTATCGTGAGCTCGTGTTCAGAAGTGTTTCGACCTCGCTGCCGGTGCGCAAACGTTCTCCCCTCATTAGAGAGCGGGTGGGATAAGGCGGGGTGCGAGAAGGAAGGTAGAATTTGACCTTCGGCTATCCATATAGGTTTGGAGGACCACCCCACTACGAAGATCCGCCTGGGCAAGGGATTCGCGTTCGCCAATCTCAACTCCGCACAGGACTTCGAAGAACAAAGGGCACGCTTCTTCGGGGAGCAGGAGAGGTTGGATGATTACGTCGAAATGCGCGAAGGACTCGATTTAGCAGGTAAGGAGGATCCACATGGCAATGAAGGGGAAGCGCTCTCGCAGGAGAGTATGGAGATTTGTCGAAAAGCCCGTGGACGCATAGGCTCGTCTTGCGCGAACGCTCCTCGCCCGGAGCTGAATTCGGTAGGGCGTTTGCGGCTTTCCCTTCACGCGTTGACTCCTCGTGAGCCGACCGGACGAGACGATTTCCAGGGTTTGTCGTCGAGCTTTCGTGGCAGGATGGGGATTTCCCCTCTTGACGAAGTTCATGCTCAATATCCTCCATCCGATTTCGAGTCAAATAAGAAGTTTATCGGGTGATCAGGTAATACGTCCATGCAGTCTTCTTTCTCTCGAGCCGGATACGAAGGGCTAACCGGCTAGCTATTCCTAAAAGGTTCGTGAAGAGATTGATCCGCGGCTCCGGCCGGGGTCACTTTAACCTCGAGTGCTCGCCGGCACTGTGCGCTACAGGGAACCGGGGAGGGGGAGACTGGAGCATCAAAGAGAGATCCACGCAACACTCCTGAGTCGTTTTAAAGAGTTTTTAAGACGAAACAAGAAACACTATCCAACTTGCTGCCCGGCTGACTGCTAGTCGCTTGCTTTCCTTTGTTCCTTCCCGTAGTGAAGATGACCGGCCTCCTCCTCACTGGGTTCCCTATGAAACGTTCGGTGAGAAGATCCCCACTAGATGATGACTACCTAAAAACTCATGGGGGTTCACAACTTATTGATTAGATCCCGTACAAAAAGTTCGCTGCAACATTCCATCGACTGAAGCGATCGATGTCTTTACGCTCAGCTGGATTTCGAGCAACTCTTCTGGAGTGCTCGTAAGCCTATTAGGACGCTGCGGAGCGTGGGTATCAATCAATAGAAGGGCAACAGAGGATTAGTACGGGATGAAGTGGAAAACGCTCGCGAAAACAGTTCTCAGTCCTCAGTCACGCTTGAGTTGACCGCGAATCAGGGAAGCGCGCACCTGCTCTGACTGGGTTACGTGTATACTCGCAATACCGTATTTTACGGGAGACTTTATTCTCTTAGGACCCTCACGGGCTCTCGAGTTCATCACCGAAATACGGGCGAATTTCCGGCCTGACCCGTCCGAAGAAGGTCGGGGCTCATGGAGCGATGACTTCGCCGAAGAATTCCGTCGGATCCCTCGACTCTGGGCGCGGACCCGAATAAAACGCGCGTTTGGTACCGAATAGCCGTGGGGGAATCGCCTCGGCAAGCTTTTAGGCTGATCACTCCTCAGAGAATTAAGGGGTGTTGTTGTTGTCGAGGCTGCTCCTCGATCCGCCAGCGCCGTTCTCCTCATCCTTCTTGAACGATCCTCCCGGTCCGCGATCCCCCCCGTCGTCCTTGGTCATTTTCCGAGCTCTTCGTTGTCTCTGAATAGAGCGTTCTCAATCAGGCAAAGAGGACGATCAGGCTCCATTGTTGCGTTTCTTTCAAACGGCTCGTACCGGCTCCGAGCAACACGGAGACTTGAAGTCCACTCTTGCATTCTTTTCTTTCTCGTCGTTGCGGCCGTCGTCTGATAAGCAGTGTCGTCGACGGGATGGGCGGCTCGTCCACCGGGGCAACAAAGAGGCTGGTTTGGGGGAAGCCGACCTGGCGGCTGCCTGTCTGCCTGCCAGCCAGTCAGCAGTCAGTAGGTCCGTCCGTCAATCAGTCAGTCAGTCTGCGGGACGGACGACCCAGTCGACGAGCACGCAGGCAGGTCCCGTCCGAGCTCGATTGACAGCAAGCCAGGAGTAGAAAGTTTTCTCGGGAGGCGGAGGCAACACGGAGCGATTTAAAATGAGGACGATGCCGATGAATTGACCCTTTGTATTTCTCCCCCTCTCCTTCTCAGGGTGCAGTTTCGAGGAGTATATCGTAGCTTTCGCAGACAAGCTTCCATGGTATATAAGTCAGACAGGCTTCTGGCTGCTGTCGTTCGTGCTGCTTTCATGGCCTCTGAGACTGTTCATAGAATATCGCACTGCTCACGTTCATGTGCAAATCACCAAACTTTTCGGCGATGCTCATCAGCCTTCACTCTCCTCGACCAGGTGAGAGTGGGACTTGATTTACTCTTCTCGATTCGTCTTCCGATCGGGAAACCGATCAACAGAATCTCCGTTCGTCATCTGATCTGATCCCGCCACCTCTCTTCCAGCAATCCGTCTATGACAACGTGCTTGAACTCGCCCGATACAATCGACAATCACACGCTTGAACCCATGTCGTATTCGGAGGCCCTGCTCTATCGAGAGCTGGGAGACATACAGGACCTAGACAACCAGGATGCGCAGTCGAACGTTAAAACGAATTCGCTCTGCGGCCGGCGCTCTTGGGGAGGCTATTCCAGTCCAGGAGCGACATCGCACGAAATCCTTTTCTACGAGCTCCCTTCACCACCGTCGTATCTGGACGCAATTTCTGCGGAAGGCGGATCCCTACCGCCGGCAGGACCTTTTGGTATTCTGAGAAGGTCTGTGACGGATCGCGATTTGACGAGCCGAGTTTTCGCAGGCTCGAACATCTCAGATAGAAATACAAGGTGGAGCCCCGAGACCCTCCTCTAGCATCAGCCAGGGGCAGACAGGGACCCAACGAGATCTCCTCCACGACGGCGCTCTTGTGATACTTCTGATATACAACACTCGTTTCACCAATAGTTTTCCTTCTGCTACTCATCGCATCATCAGCATCGCTCATATCCCTATTGGACATACCGGGAGAAGCGGGTAAATGGGAGCTGGAAGCTTCGGTCGTCATAATGCCGTTCTTCCTTCGCTGATATCGCCGCCAAGAGGAGAGGGTGTCCTGCTGGGGAGGAAGTTCATTCCTTCCTCGTTGGATTCTGACCATAGGGCAGGACGAGCTCTCTTGCACGCGTTGCGATCGCTTGCCACGGACTTTGATTCACGCACTCAATCACCAGGTGGAGCTTCGGAGCTCATCGTGCATCGCACATCAGCAGCTAACGCCACGGATATCAAATCCTGGGGAATTACAGACGCACCGATTCCCGACTGAACTCGATGTTCGCCTCGTGATACGAAACAGGACGAATCAACCGGTCATGAATCTATTGACGACTTCCTTCAAATCGGAAGTGTCTCGTCTCAGAGAGGCGAGTGAATGCTTCTGGAGTCTAAAATGCGTTGTAAATTCTCAAATCTGTGCTTGCTTCTGATAACGACCCCACCCGGTCGAAGCCGGAGCCAGCCCATTAATTTCGGATCATCCAGCACCCTTTCTTCTACTCTTTCATAGTTCTGATCTGAGGGCAGATCAATGTGTTGAGATCGGCTGACTTGTTCCGTCACCGGAAATGTCGGTTTCGAGGGAGAGAACGGGATCTTGCGTACAATTTCTTGAGAGTGCTCCCATCCCCGAGTGTGTATAAAATGTTTGTTGAAGCTTTGTCAATCTGTAAACAGTCGGATAGACAGACGAATGCGCGCGGCTCCAAGCGCAAAGCCTGAAACATCAAGTACCTTTAGTGAATCCGCCCAAGCACGATATCCTTCCTTTCGTAGGGTAGGGAACAGTGAGCTTTTACGGAGAGGACTTGATGCGGAGAAACCCGAGAGACTTTAGCTCATGTATCAAAACCAATCAGTAGCGGGGCAGGTCGCGGAGATTGTTTGGGCAGCGGGAATGTGGTAAGGATTCGAAATGATTAGAAAAGGTTTGAATGATCTGTCACGGAAGCTTTGCCGAATCATTGATAGGAGTTCTTCCATGAAGTTCTATGAGAGCGCTTCGTATGCAGTTGAATGGCTTCGAGGACCGTATTGAATTTCCTCAAGCATCGGTCCTACCTGGAAATCCTCAAGAGCAGAGACGAATACACTTGCTTCGAATCCCATCTGATTCTAGTCGGATCATTACACTCGATTCCCGAAAAAGCGGAACTCCCCAAATCTAGTCAGCGCAAGAGCATAGTGCGATTGGAGGCTAGACAGAAAATCGATATTCCAGCATCGATGGAATAGCGTCGATCACTTCGGTGCTTGAAGACAGGATCCAATCGGAAATCTTCGTCCGAGCGAGTCATTCGGGCAGGTGGAAAATATCAGCTCGTTGTAATCGATCTTATCGCGAAGGAGAAGTCCGAAGATAATTTCTTTAACTCGATGTTGATTTCAAATTCTGACACGCTGGATTGCGTGGTACAGCCCTCAGCGCGCTTCCGATGTCGCACTGTTAAGCGTTGCAAGTGTTTATTCGTGTTGAATTGACCGTTAGATCGGCTGAAGGCGAACGAAAGCAGAACCGTGGAGACGGCGAAAATGAATATATCCTCAAATAAAGCCTTACGTATTCCAGGAGAGCACTCGCACCTTTTCTCCTCGACTTTCCCCCCAGCTCTCCAGGCTATTCTTCGTGCTCTCGAATATTCAACTAATATATAAAGTAAATTGTTTTTGGCTTTGTTCCCCTCGATGCGCGTCCAAACCGCTGGACCGATTGTCTGGAAACTTGCGCAGTCTGAGAGTTACATCGAGGAGACGGACATAGGCATACCAAAAACCGCCAAGAAAGAAAGATGAAATTGATACTAAGCTTTTTCCGCATTTCGAACAAACATCGTCGTTTTGTTTGGACTGGCGGGTGACTCGAGCAGTCATTGAATCATAATTCTCATCATATCTATATCCTCATACGAACGGGAGGAGAAGCTGGAGAATGACGGGATGAAGAAACGCGGGAAAACAAACGAACGGGCTTTCAAACCGGAAAAGCAATGAGAAAGAGAAGGCAAAAAAAGACGGCACAAGGTTCAAAACGGGAGAAACGGGAGAAGGAACGAAAGGGACAGGGAAAAACTGGAGAAGGGTCGGGGGAAAACTGGAGAAGGGTCGGGGGAAAACTGGAGAAGGGTCGGGGAGCAACTGGAAAAGAAATGGGCCAAGGGACGCCCACAGAAACTGAATGGTACAAGGGAATATGAATGGAGAATTTGACGCGGACACGGGCGGAACGACACGTCCTAAGGAACGGAACAAGGGACGGGAAAAGGAAAGGGAAAGGGGGCGGAATAAATAATGGGAAGAATGACGGGGGAAAACGAGATACGGAACGAGGGAGTAAACAAGAGGAAGGATGCAGGAATGGACGGCACAAGATCAAAAATTTTCCATTGAATCATGGTGTCAATGCTCTCATACGAACGCCGAAAGGAACGGGAGACGGTACGGGGAAAGAGACGGGGAGGGAGACTGGGGAAGCAACGGACAAAGGGACGCCAGCAAAGACGGGAAGGTAGACGGGGAAATCAATGAATTTGACGCGGATACGGACGGAACAACGAAAAATCCACACTCTATCATAACACCAATATTTTCATCATCATGCGCATCATTCACTTCACTCAACCCATTCCATGCGGCAGCAACGCGCCGCTGGGCCCGGCCAGTTCACATCTAATCGTAGGGAGGCTCGCATAAATAATCCCGAATCGGGAACACCTCCCTTGATCACCCCGGTATCTGGCTCGCATCGAAATCATTATAGCGACTGGAGATGGTCGAAATTCCTTCTATTGATGGCTGAAGTCCTAGTAGTGTGTAGGAGGAATGGCTGATGCGATGGCCTTCAGCATTCCTTCGAGTCAGTTTCCTACAGTTTCGTCGTTGCCGGGTCCTGGACACCATTCGTCGTTGCCGCTCGATTGTTCCCATCCGAAATTGACATTTCCGTGTTCCTCCTCCGAGCTTTGCGGTCTTCAGCGAACCGCCACAGACAGAGGGCGCTATCTTGCAGGAATGTTGGCCAATCGATTGCCGACAGGTCCGTATTGAATATCTGCAAATGTATCCCATTGTGTCGAGACAGTCCAGTTGTTGAGCTCGTCTTTGGCGGATATTGATCAGAAGTACGTGATTTAGCCGAGAGCCCGGCAAAGAGCCAGGCGACCATGGATCGAAGTTTTCGACCCAACCCGCTCTCACTTCGCGCCTAGCAACGTATCGATATTACTCGGATAATTTTTCTCGCTAGTCCTCGAAGAAGAAAAACTCACATGTCTCTCGTGGGGTGGTATTTCTTCGCTGAGCTCGCGAACATTCTTGTACTCGAAGAAGATAGTTGTCGAAGTGAAATACTCAACCATGGCACATCTGACTTTCCCACGCAATACCTTGCGTAGGGGTCGGTCCGGATTCCTCGTGAGGATATTGAAGAACTGTTTCAGGAGCGCAGGAATAAGGAATAGGAAGATGAAGATCAGCTCTGAGCGGATGCGACTCGAGGTGAGCCGGAGCTTGCGCGACGGCACCTGATGCTCCAAGGCGCTGTTGATAGCGCGGCCGATTGTAGCCATGGAAGGTGCTGTTCGACTGTCCGAGCAATTGTATACAAGGTTCTCCGGTCGTACATTGCGTCGCCAAGCCGCTCCCAGAACGACGTTCGCACACACATCCACGGGAGCAACGGCCATCGGACTATTCATTGCTGCATGCAAGGGAAGGTTTCGACCGATCTCGCTCTAAGATGAAAACAGTCGGATGAAACCTTCACGACAAGATTTATCATGCATCATGAGATCATAATGTGAGTCGATACTCTCCAAGATATTTGACACGAATCACTTACCAGAAGAATGAGCGAGTTGAAACCGTTGAAATTGTCCACCCAACCGCGTGAAGGGGCTGCGAGAGAGCCTACGATGGTAGGAGGTCTGACGATCACATGTGGCAGACCCGATGACGCCACAAGGGCTTCGGCATGCTGTTTCGAGAACGTATAAGTATTCGGATGTCCACGCAAATTCCATTTCGAAAGCGATGCGGGGTCGGTTTCATAGGCACGCAAGAGATTCTCAACTGAAATCCGATGATAGTAATCGTAATCGAGTAGTTTCCGAGGGAGAGTAGTTCGACTGCCATCAAAAGCGCCCGGAGCTTGCCATTGGGGTCCACTTACGTGAAACGAATATGTGTCTGTACACTTTCTCCTGCACGACCGCCAAAGGGCAGTTGGAGTAAGCGGTCGAGACGTATACGAAGCAATTCAGTCGAGGCCACGACTTCGCCAGGAGCAGTGCTTCGAGAGTGCTGATCAGATTCAGCTCGACAACAGATCGTAGCGAATGCTCAAATCTGACTGAAGCGGCATTGTTGATATAGACCTGCACGGTATCGAATTCTCAAGGTCAGTCTGATCTGATATTTTCTCTCCTTGTCAAGTGTGTCTTATTCAGAATAGAGGAATCAAAGGAGGGCCCGCGTCGCAATCCCTGTTATAAGTACGTAGCACCGTACAGAAACTTCACTTCGGAGATATGCCTCGTCGACGTGACTGAGACCGAGTCTCGGTTTCGATATGTCTCCTTCCAAAACCACAATGCGCGAATCGACGGTTCTCTGGAAGGGGTCCTCTGCGAACAGCGCCTCGATTCTGGAGTGAGGTGTTTGACCCTCGCGCGGCCGCACGATCAGGAAAACTTTGCGAACCTTGGTCTTCAAAAGTTGGTGGAGGATGATCTGCCGGGGAGGATAGTCTCATTCCACTTCCCTCATCACAGATCACAGAATCAGGAAGGAGATATTTCGTCAGATGGCTCACCCCCAGACTCACTTTTCCCAAGAATCCAGTTGCTCCCGTAAGCAGAATTTTTTGTTCCGTGTAGTAATCTTGCATGTTTCTCGCTCTACGGGAACTGCTTGAGCCGTTTATCCTTCCGAAACAGTAATTGAACGATTTCGGGACGAAGGCGGATGGAACTCCCTCTCCACGATTGCTTCCTGTGGACGCGCATGTGTTATTAGCAGTCGCTCTATGCTTTTATCACCCTAGAGCTTTGAGCATCTTCGTTAACAACAAGTGCTCCCCGATCTTGAAGGTCAGCTTAACCCTCTGGTCTGATCCGAGAACTTCCTGCGGTAACGAGATCTGCCTACAACGATGATGACTAGACCAGACAGATTGATGATGAAGACGTCCCCTCCCTGAGGATTGAGCTAAACTCACAGATGCAGCTCCCAGAACACCATACCACATACAGGGAGAACATAAGGTCGATCAAGTCGACGACACGTACTGCCATGAAAGCTCAAAAGGTGATGGCCCCGTAGATCGACGGTGCCCGAGGGCTACCGTTGTTCACATCTGGGCTCATGCGGAACTTTCATCGGAAGTTGCTCGAGCTGCAGAACTGCTGAGCTCGCATTAGTCGCTTACATCATTAAAATTGACACCAATGTCGACAGTGTCGCGTCCAGCAGTTGTCATCAGACCTGATCATAGCTGCGTAGGCAAGGTCTAAACTCTTACAGTAGATGCCCCTGAGAAACCCGGCAGGTAGTGTCAGAGACACCGCGGTATACATAGGCTTGGAACGTCTCCTGTGTTCGATAGCGTAGGAAACCCATCTCGATGATTCAGATCTGGATTGCCGTTCAATTCCAATGAACTCGGCTCCGTTTGATGTGAGCGAGGCCCTTTATTTTGGCGGGAATCAAGCTTTTCTATATGGCAAACCGGATGATGGGATCGGGAGGCGACTCTTCTGGTGCTATGATATATTCATCATACATATCTAGCCGGGGCCGGCGGCGCGTTGCTGTCGCATGGAGGAGGTCTCCTGAAGTGAATGATGCTGAGAACGAAGCGAAATCGAACGGCGCTCCCCACGCTGCTTCGGCTTCAGGAATCTTGCCGCAGCGATGGGATACGCCTAGAAATATATATGTTTTCGTACCTCTTCACGGGGCGGCAGATCCGGCGCTTTTTCCCATATGTATGCCCCAGACTATCACGGAATTCATGCAAGGTTCTTCGGCCGTGAATTCCGTCGTTCAACATTGAAACCAGATCATGATAATTTGAATGATTACTCTACTAGATCTCAACTGCGAACCAGATTTCGCTACACGGAGACGAAGCTTCTGGAAGTTACCCTCAGCCACTTTTGAGGCGTTTCACAACAAAGCTGTGACTCATGGATCCGGACTTCGTTTCACCCCGACGCCCCAGCCTCCCTCATGATCTCATACCTTCCCGGGATTCTCACCACCCTGAACATTCAATATTATGCGGTGCTTCCATCAAAAGTTGGCTTGTTGATCTAGTACCGCAGTGATAGGGTTCCACGAGAATGAGCGACTGAGGTGATATATCTGAACTCTGAGCACTAAGCCAGTCGCCCAGCGCGTTAATCCCGCTCACATAGAATCCCGGGGGCAACGAGAAGTCTTTTGCACCCTCTGAGGAATTCGCTCTTCCGTCTTGATTCCAGAGCCCCCGGTACGAGCTGAGGGCTGACCGCCCGACTAGGTCGCCTCCAAATCCGTCTGTCGCTGCCTTTTGATGCCGTCTGGCAATGTCTCTGACGACTGCGCCATGAAGCGAGAAAACGAGAAAGACACTGCAAGCGTAGACAGTGCGAGTTTCAGGCCAGCAGAGTCGACCACCGTCCCGGTAGTGTTCTCCAAGAATACCCTTTCCGGGTACTTCTCTCCGCTTTGTGGTGACGGGTCCTCCGCCTGGGCAGCGAGAAAGCGAGCGGTGATGGTGAACTGAACCCAAGAACATTAACCAGGGCAATCTCGGAACTTGTCCCATAGTCCCAGAGTGAAACAAGTTGGAGAGACTACCATCTTAAGGTGAGGGCAGCAGAGGCGAACTCGAGCCGCGCAGGGGACTTGAGGATTCTACTCCGGGCTCTTACCGCGCGGTAACAAATTCGAGCAACAGTACCGACTACGTCATGGGTGGAGGACGAGCGACGCACATTGAACGGGGAATAAGCGTGAAATCAAACCAAGTCGAAAAACCAAACTCTACGCTCAGAATGCTCAGAGGGGGTCGGAGACGTACCCGTCGAGAACACCCACCTTGCTTCCGGACATGCATTGTTCTTTGGAGTGAATCTCGGCGCACCTTGACCCTCGGACTGGTCCAACCTTTGCACCGACGCATGCATTAAGACCGCTTTCCGAAAGAGGAAAAAGGAGTTTTGGGGCGTGCGATCCTTTTGGACACCTTTCAACCCATAATCGCAAAGCCTTCCTTCAGCACACTTTACCGCTTCGCGGCGTGACCATTCCTGAACACTGCCGCCGCAAACATGGAAGCTCGAGAACATGATCTCCTAAAAAAAAAATTCCCTGGTTCACGGAAGCGTTCTCATAATGAGCACCGGTTGCTCTCCATTTTGTCAACAATGACGTGTTCTAAGCAACTATAATTAGACACTTTCATATAGAACAGGAATCGATCCTCCTCCCCGCGGCAGCGCCTTGAAGGGAACACGATCGAGTGATCTCGGGAACGACCTGTTCAATCCGGGAACCGTAATATCAACACACAATGATCTATGGGGATTCCTTAGCCGCGCGTGTGTGTCTCAAGTGTTCTACCTACCGAGATGACGTCGAGAGAGTCGACGCACTTAAAGCTGGCAGAAGGGCCCCTTCTAAATAGATCCTGTAGACTCTCGTGTCGAAGAGTCATGCCACGTGCATTCTAAACTCATTCTTCCCGGTCATTGTCCACTCTCGGCGAACGGAGTATATGAAATGGGGATTCACTTTTATCGTTGCGTTCGATGCGACAGGCTCCAGGATTCGATTTCGATTCCGTTCACTAGGATCCTGACTGACCTCAGCGTTGTGCAACGCTCCCCGTGAACCTTCAACTCGGGTCAAGTTCGCCGCACTTACTTTCAGGTGATCCTCCATTATGGCGGAGGCCCATTCGGCCGTCGCCTTCAACTTTTCTGTCACTCACGAGGGAGTCTCGATAGACTATGACTGGGAGGTAAGCAATGCAGAACACTTACCCATCCGTGCCATTCCCTGTCGACCGGAACCTCTTGATCTTACTTACTTAGTCTGAGGCACAAGTGGAATTAACGAATCATTCGGTCGAAGTCTGCAGAGCTGGTTCGAATTTATTGCTCGCAGACGTGACTTAGAAAGTCACTGTCTTGGCTTCCGAACAAAACGTTCAGCGAGACCGATCCTAAAAATTAAAGCCAGACATGGAAATTCTCAAATTGTTCGGCAGAGAAGTTCTGAGTTGGCCTTTCTTGCAGCTCTTCTCGATTTTGTGTAAAGCCGGAGTCCGGTCGTGGAAGAAGAGCATCTCCCGACTCGTCAACAACATACGCAACGGGCTCTACCCAGCTTCTCACCGTTCTCTGGTTCTGGTCTGGACTGTGCTGTACGGCGGGGAACTGTCGAAACCAGGCTTCGATTTCTCGTTCGGTGCGAGCAGTCGAGTGGAAGGCTTCGTTCCGCAACACCTCGCCGAGATCCATCCGCAGCTACCGCGATGTCTCGCAGTTTTCGTCACCGGCGTCGGAATGTGGAGCTGTCTGTCGGTATTCCGACGCTACATGCTCAAAGCTCTGTTCAGCTACAAGGGCTGGATGCTCGAGAGTCGAGGGAAGAATAGCAAGGTCTCACTAGCAACCCGCCTGTGGTTCGTGGCGGTGAGGATTTTCGAAGGATCGTCGCCTTTGCTGTACTCGTATCAGTCGTGTTTGCCGAGTTTGCCCTTGCCATCCGTAGCGGATACGATGCAACGCTACCTCCGCTCTGTCAGGGCGCTCTGCAACGACGAGGAGTTCGAGCGATTGACGAAACTCGCGCAGGAATTCCAAGCGGGTCCCGGCCGGCGATTCCAGCGCTACCTGTGGTTCAAATCCTGGTGGGCACCGAACTACGTGACCGACTGGTGGGAGGAGTTCATCTATCTGAGGGGCCGCAGCGCGATTATGGTGAACTCGAACTTTTACGCGGCGGACGCCATCCTCATGAAGGTCACCACGAATCAATGCGCTAGAGCAGCGAATTTGATCCACGCCGCGTTTTTGTTCAGGCGTATGATCGACTTCCAGACCCTGAAACCCATACTTCTGCAGGGCGTGATCCCGCTGTGTTCGGCTCAGTACGCGAGACTGTTCAACACGACTCGTGTGCCCGGGGTAGAAACCGACCGCATCCGCCATTCGCACGATTCGACCCATATCGCGGTTTACCACAAAGGTCGTTACTTCAAGATAATCACGCATTACAGAGGACGTCTGCTGTACCCTCCGGAGCTGCAAAGACAGCTCGAACAAGTGGTGGTCGATGACAGCAAACCGTCGTCAGCCGAACTCTACCTCGGTGCTCTGACGGCTACCGACCGGGTGACGTGGGCCGTCGCGCGGAAAGAATACTTCCGTCGCGGGATCAATAAACCGTCCCTCGACGCGATCGAGAGAGCTGCGTTCGTGGTCATTCTCGACGACGAAGACCTCGTCTACGATGAAAAGGATCCCGACAAACTCGATCATTACGCTCAAATGCTTCTCCATGGCAAGGGATTCGACAGATGGTACGACAAATCGTTCAACATGATCATCGGGAGGAACGCGCGTGCGGGAATCAACGTGGAACACTCGTGGGCCGACGCTCCCGTGGCGGGCCACTGTTGGGAGTACTGCATTTACACGGATCATGCGAGATTGGGCTACGACGAAGATGGCAATACCAAAGGATACAACGAGTTCAACAGTAGAGAGCTTTCGATCAAGGAGTTGCCGAGACCGATTCGATTGAAATGGGATATCAACGACGATTGTCAGAACGTTATTTTCAAGGCCAAAGCCGATGCGGATAAAATTCTTTCGGATGTCGATCTTCACGTTGAGCGATTCGCCGAATACGGTAAACGAATCATCAAAAAGTGCCGAGTGTCTCCGGATGCGTATCTTCAGATGGCTCTCCAACTCGCTTATTTCCGTGACCAAGGTGAGCTCATATCAGGGTTCCTTTGCGGGCGGGGGGGGGAGGAGATCCGGAGATCCGGAATTTTTTGGTTTGCCCGCGGTTCCCGTCCGCCCCCGGGCTGAGTGGGACCAGCTAGTTCCTAATAATTCTTCGGTCCAGGGAAATTCAATCTGACGTACGAAGCATCCATGACACGTCTCTTCCGCGACGGCCGTACCGAGACCGTTCGACCCTGCACCATGGAGTCTTGTGAGTGGGTGAGGAGCATGTTGGATGAGAAGGCAACGAAAGAAGAGAAGAAGCAGAAGCTCGTAGACGCTTGTAATACCCACCAGATGTGAGTCTATCGAATTTTTGTCGTCTATCCTCCGTGCACTCGATTTGGAGATTTCGAGAAAAAACCGAATATCGATGAATATCAACGATTGGCGAGTATTTTGTCGATTTCGCAGGGGCTACCAGAATGCCATGTGCGGCAAGGGAATCGACCGACACATGTTTTGTCTCTACGTCATCTCGAAGTATCTTGAGATAGATTCCCCGTTCTTGAAAGAAGTGCTCTGCGAGCCCTGGCGTCTCTCCACGTCTCAAACTCCTATCAACCAGACTGGCTTCTTAAATCTGGACGATCATCCTGAATGGATCGCTGCGGGAGGGGGGTTCGGACCAGTGGCCGACGACGGGTATGGCGTTAGTTACCTGATCGCTGGCGAAGATAACTTCTTCTTCCACGTGAGCTCCAAACGGAGCTGCCCTCAGACGGTAGGTTTCGATTATGGTCGATTCGAGCGACGCGACGTTGCGTCTACCGTATCCGAGGGATTTGGATTCCTTGCGGTTGTTCAGCGAGGATCTACGCAACGAGAGCTCAAATATAAAGCAGATCGATATTTACAGGACTCGACCCGCTTCTCGAAGAATATTTCTCAAGCCTTGCTGGAGATGCGGGATATTATCGTCTGAGTCCAATGTCCTGACCTCGTCCCTACGTATAAGCCTCGCAGGATTTAGTTTCTTGAGTTTTAATAGCGCAGAATTGTACATAGAGATTCAGCTGATCGATAAAGGTATCATCCCGTCGGTCGGGAGATTGCTCATAAATACCGCGTTCTGACTTGCAGAGAATTCGTGCACGAAATCCAACGATCGCCGCCCCATGGAGAGAGAATATCCTTATTTTTTTTATTCATAAGTTCTCAATGGTAATTTCACACTCCACCAAATCTCCATCAGTCAGCCCTCTCGACAATGCTTCGTGATGGTATTTACAGGCCAGAAAAAAGACCCAGGTCGGAAATTAAGATTTTTCCGCACGGGATGATTCGCAATGGGGACGATGATTGAAAGTTATTAGTGTTCGCCGTCGCTGCGGTCCGCGAGCGGTCCCTCGCGATCATCACGACGGAGGCTCACACTGTCATCGATTTCCTTGTGTACAAAACAACTGAACAAGCGTTCGGAGAGTTCAGCGAAAGCATACAGTCTCCGCAGTATCACATCCATTGAAATTTCGGTCGTCTTCCACTCGTCGTCGGACTATTCCACCACCGTTATGAGCCGTATCAAGCAACGTAGTGGTATTTGCTGCTACTTTCCCGATCGCGTTCCAAATAATCTCTTTCGATCAGACATTCGATCCGCTTCTTCAAGTCGCCGGCCTGGAAGACGGAAGGGTCCATGAGCCGAGGACTGATAAGCGCCGAAAGCTACTGAGCTTCCTCATCGTAATTATCATCCCTCCTCGCAATCTGGGGCTTCGATACCGAAACGGACCAACTCACCTTCACGGGGAACTTCAGCTGCTCGAAGAGCTCGCCCAATAAAGTCGTGTGTACCATGCACTTGCGCGTTTTCATGATTCGTACGATAGCTGCGTCGATCTGATACTGTCGATCCTGGAAGACCCTTTCATGAGTTGAGCTCTGTTCTTCCTTGGTTTCCTTCATCTGGACCTGATTGATCTTTATCCGGAAGAGGACGTTCTTGAATTCGCTGTTGTAGGTGAACTTGTCTCCGTCTTCGACGTCTCGACTGCGCGGGATCTTGAGAAGGACCTGCCCCCAGAAAAGCAATACTCAATTAACGTCATTTCCACACTGAATATCAGCTCGAGCTCATAGCAGCCGCACAATAATCCATCAGACGAGCAAAAATAAGGAGAAATATGATTCTTACCCGGGCTTTACCGCACGCGAGACTTTGAAGGGTTCTCTTCAACTCTTCGTCCTCGATATTGGTCGTTTGCTTAAGTTCTTGCAAGGAAAGTTCGTTGTGTTCGTTGAACGGAAGGAGACACAATGCTTGATACTGGGACACCTGTAGCTCTTTGGCTCCTTCGGGAAAACTCGCTTTGAGTACGCAATGACCGAGATTATGCTGCCATTGAAGTTTCCGCCCGTTGTGCTTGCTGATGTAGTAGGCTTTGAATACTTCTTGAGCCTCGACCATGAATGGAGGCAGAATCACGTCTTCCACCGGTGGGTACGAGGGCCAATAACCCATTGTCAATACGTAGGCTGTCATGTCGATGGGGCTTTGATGCTTGAAATTCATCATCAGCTCCTTGCTGAGCTCCATGTCCTTGAACATTCCCTCGAGTTTTCCGGTGAAGCCAGCACCGCATTCTTCCTTTAGTTTCGTCAGCATCGACTTTTCGGCGTCTACGGAGGCAGACTTGCCCACAAGGAGACGCTTGGCCAGATCTTTTTTGTAAAATGCCTCGAAAACGTCTTTTCCGTGAATAAATCGGAACAACACCATGATTTTCCCTAGTATTAATTCGAGCTCGTCCTCCGTAGCCTCCTTGTTGCCTGATCGGAGTTTCGAATCGACGAATTTAGCTATGAGCTCGGCGGGTTTGTTCGGCCGCTGGTTTATGAAAGTCTCGAAGGCCTCTTTCAGGCTGTTCGCAAACTTTTCGTTCGCCGCAAAACACTCTATTAGGACGCGGTCCATCTGCTCCTTGAATTCTAGCAATTCCTGGACCATGGTCTTGTCTTTTTCGGGATCCGTGATGATGACTTTGCCGCGTTTCTTGATGTACATATTGAATTGCGTGCACAACAAGCTGAGTCCCGTCTTCACTCGATTAAATAGATTATACAACAATTTCAGCTCGTTATACCGATTCTCGTCCAGCAGCTGGTCCAGACCCTTCTGTAGAATGGTGGGGAGATGTAGACCCAGCAACTGCTCCTCGACGGCGTGAATGACAGGTTTACGGGTTGTGTGGTCTAGATAGAATTCAGATCGTTCCTTCTCTTCTTCTAAGCGTCTGTTCACGTGGAAGAGGTAGTCGGCGATTGTGTGCCCGCTATCGTCTCTCATCCAGCAATTTCCCTCTTCTCCGTACAAATTCTTTGTTTCCTCGATGAAACGGTCTTCGAGATGATCCCCATAGAGATGAAGATCCGAGAGCATGCGGAGTAAGCTTTTCACCAAACTCCTATCGATGACCTATATGGGAAAGGGGAGAGACAAATTAGATCGATCATCGTCCGCCCACGCTTCCGAAACACCCTAGGACCCTAGGGTAGACCCGGTCCAGTTCAGAAATCTCCAACGGCCGCGAACGCACCATCTCTCCCTTTCGTTCGTGCTCTATGAGCATCAGGATTCCGTCAATTGTTCGTTGTCGGACATCGACGTGCGTGATCATGTAGTGTTTCCTGAAAATATCCAGCCCCACATCCCACAATGAGGGAACCGTGGAATTCTGCAGGGCGTACGTTCTATCCAGGAACAGATAAATGGCTCGAATCATTGTCAATTGCTGACAATGGGTTTTCCAGGTTTTGTCCATCGATCTCAGGAAGTCGATGTGATCTTGAGTTTTGGCTAGGAAATTCACGGTGCTGGCAGCCACATGAGCTTCGATTATCTGCGGTGTAAACAAGAGCATGTCGTATAGCGATGGCACATCAGACCGTTTTTTTTCGGTCAAATGACACATGGATCAGGTCGACCTTCCGATTCTCGATCAGAACTCACGTTTTGTAGTTCAAAATAGACTTTCTCGGCGTTCCCATGAGCACACAGGTTTTCTACGAAGGAATAGAGCACCTCCTGAGAGCATTCGATCCTTTTCGAGGTGAGCACAGCGTCCACTGCCTCCGCCAGACGGGACCAAGCGTCATTTTGGTAAGTGATCGGCAATACGGGTTTCTCTGCGGAATAAATCAGGATTAAGGACATGTCACTCCGCTCTTCGTGTTCAGTAGGATAGATATTTAAGCAGGGGGCTGCAGAGAAATACCAAAATGAGAAGGGTCACATGGTTCGGGTGAGCTATCGAAGAGCAGCGAGTCTTGAGTGGCTCAGCCCCGAATGCGTATATTGCGATCAAAAAACACCGAGATGTACAGAAACAGCCCGGAGATTCGATAGAAATGAGAATGGTGCGCATGTAGCACACTGCACATGGCCGAACAAGTCGGGGGTTGCCGAGCTACCTCGAGGGGGCAACCGACTCCACAAGGTCGCATGAGAGGATACTCGTGTCATCTCGAGAATCAACCACCCATCTCAGATCGATGAGTTCCCGACTTCGATTGTGAGGATCTGAAGGATCAAAGATTTAAGCTCGATTCAGAAATCGCAGATACATTGCGAGACTCTCGAGCCTTTTCCCGCGAGTCGCTAATTCCGACGAACATCCTCAAGAAGATGATTGACCCCGACACGAGGATTGTGAGTGACCATTCCAAAATCTGGGGACGATTCGCTTGGGCATCGTTGGAGAGTTGTGCTCGTGAACGGAAAGCGCGGAGAAATGACAGCAAGCTCCTGAGCACCCGCAGCCTCTGAACCCTAGGGATTTGATGAGCTCCACTACATTTGAAGGATAGAGAAGATGTTTGGTAGATCCATAGGATAATTCGTTCGAGAGACCAACGTTTCCGACGGAAATACTTACCAAAGTTCTTCAGTACGAGCTTCTTCACTCCGACTGGTTTGTTCGTACTTGTTCGCAGCATTTTCGGCTTCACATCCATACTCCGGGAGCGGCACAATATCGAGGCGGCCCCGTCGGCCAAATTTGGCGGTTGTAATGAGCGATAACTGTCAGTACACAGAGCTTCAAGTCGGTTTCTTTATCTCACCCCCCGTACCTGTTCAATGAGAACCCTTAAGCAAGCCCTGGCACTGGGCGCTGCGGCGGCTACTTTTCCCACACACCGACAACAGCAGCAGCAGCAGTAGATCAACTCGATCTCAACGGGAGAAGCCTAGCTTTTTCAAATAATTGCTTAATTCTACGGTCAAATCCGAGGATTTTATTTTCCACCGTCGGAATGCCGTCCTATAGTCTACGCTCGCGGGATCATCTTCCATGAGGCGAATTGCGTCGTCTGAAGCGTAGAGCCCCTTCCCGGCGAAGCATGCGAGGCGAGGATATTCAAAAGACGCTCCACTCAAGATGGTACCAGAAGCTTCTATCGGAAACAAACAATATGGCCGTGGTGGTTTTTATTTCGACGCCGGAGCTCCGCTAATTGAAAACGTACACGCGGGCAGATCTGACGCCGTTGGAACTTTTGGGAGCTCTCGACGGCGGGAATCGGGATGAACCCGATTTATGAACGTTGATATCCGTTGTCGGAATGGTGATTTCGAGACGATGATGTAGCCGATCTTTGCTGAATCTCCGACCGGAAGCGGGCGGTTTCTCGACGTTCATCCACGGCTCGACGTTTTCCGTGTCCTCGCGTAGTGCCCCTCGAGAAAACGACGTTGGATGAGGCTGCTTATCGGAACCCTTTTCTCCCCTTTGGGCTTCCCTCCAAGATTTGGCATCTGCGTCGCCTGGGTAGGAACAGCTGTGAAACTCGAGAGTGGATCAGTTTCCGATTCGAGTTGGATTTCATTCGGCTCCCTGTTTTGCTTGGGACTACAGCGAGCTAGAGGGAAGGCTATCTCTTCCGCGGAAAGCTCAGACCTGTCTCCCTCGTTCGCATTCATACGACGGTCGAGTCTCGGACACTTGCAGCGTGGCAGATCGTTCTGAGTGAATAATGTTGTATAGCACGGAGCTCGAACCAGACGAGACGCCGTGGACATTGGTCACGAAACGAATGGGATCCGTTCCCGACATGATATTGAGACTTTCCGGCGGCAAGAAAGAACTTCCCTTCTGCAGAAAATAAGATACCGGTTCTCATACAAAGGCGGTGTCGTTTACATCATCAGACTCCAGGCGATGTCCGGGGACACTTGTCAACCCATTCCCTGAGAAAGTGCTGCTCGGCGTCCGGACCCTGGAATTCCACAACACTAGAGCCGATATTGCTATTCGCGGGCGTCGTCGCCGTCCTTTAGGGGCTTATCTACATGAATTGACGGAATCGTTGCAGTAGACTCCATGAATCTGGTCGTTCCGTCATACCTCAGGCGCCTGCCTGTGAAGGCGGGAGTTTCGGAAGGGATTGAAGCTTCTATCCCGTTCTCGCCGGCAACGGAGCGCATACACCGGTAGCTCGAAGTAAACATGGCGCCGCTCGAGTGTTGTTGATAGCTGCTGCTATTAGAAAACAACACAGCGACGACTGAGCTCGGTGTTTGAGCGGCGGCCGATTGAAACTAGTGGAATTAAATTGCTTCTACATGTTATTTACTTAGTTTTGTACGAGTATAAGCACGGCTTCAACATGAGCGGTGGCGCAGGGAGTTCTGGTCTCAACAATCCTCGGAGTGCCCCTAAGGATGCGCACGTCATGATTGCTCTCCTCAGAGAGATGGGTATCTCAGACTACGAACCGAGGGTTTTGGATCACATGCTAGACTTCACATACAGTGAGTATCGTCTCCTTGGATTAGTGACCGACCTCATCGGGCTTCGATATAGGGGTATATTCCGATAAGCACAGGGGGCGCGTCACTCGATTGAATTAAGCGCGCTCTTCTGACCGCCGATCGTCCCCCTCCCGGGGAACACCTAATCGTGTTTCCGCGTATACGGTCGATGTCGTTCGCGGTGCTCCTGGATATCATCTCAATCTACGATGTTTCCCCAGAGTCAGATTCCCCTTCCCTTTCCAGAATATGTCACGAACGTGCTGGAAGAAGCGCGGGCTTACAGTTCTCACTCGAAAAAGCGAAACATCGACATCGACGACGTGCGGTTAGCGATTCAACTCTTGAGTGAGAAGTCGTTCACAAATCCACCTGCGCGAGACAGCCTTCTGGAGATCGCTCGAGCGAAAAACTCGCATCCACTGCCCATGATCAAGAGCACCACCGGAGCTCGTCTGCCTCCTGATCGGTACACTCTGACATCTACAAACTATCGTTGCAAAACAAAGCCTAAACCCCCTCCACAAAAGATCATCCAAACCGGCGGACAGCAGAATATGGAGAAGAGTTTGCGACGATTGGTATCCACAGAGCAAGAAGAGCAGAAGAAAAGGATTTGAGCCCCATCGATACAAAGAGCGTTCTGTTGTATTTTGAGCGGAAGGATTGACCTCTGTCGAGTTCATTGACTAAAGCAGTGTGCCCCACACGTTCCTCCTCGAGTCTAACGATAAGTTTATCTGTCGAATTGGCTGCGTGCTCCATCGAGAATTCGAGATTGAGGAACTCTCGCGAGTTCCGATCGAATCAGAGTCTCCGACTGATAATAATGGAGGAATTCCTGGAATCGTGCGATTTTCTTAAAAAGCTCCAGCTATACACTATTCCCATGTACAAACATTCTCGCATCCTCCACCATTGGACCTCGCCTTATTCGTGACATCTAGTCTTTTTCTCTGGCGAATAAATAATCAAGGAGGGGGCCCCAGCTACCGAAGCCGCTTCTCTTCAGAAAGCAAGATGAAGAGAAGGAGATAGACTGGATGCTCGAAACGTATTCCGTCAACATTCGCTTCGCGCCTCCTCCGCTCGCGGATAATAATCGGTATCAGTCGTCTCGGACATTTCGTCTCGGTAGCCTCCCAGAGGGAGATTAATGGAGAGCCTCGATTTTCGTACTGAGAGCGTGATGACCACGGAGGAAGTCGAGTTCAAATTCAAACGCCTACTGTCCGAATAATGTCCACATGTCAGGATCCACGAGAGGAGGCATCGATTGAATGAGCTTTGTCCAAGACTCCATGACGCACCGGGAATATCCCTCGCCCTGTCTGTGAGGCGTAGGTCCTTCTCAGGGAGCTCTGCAATGGAAAGTTCCCATATTTGGTTGCCAGGAGAGGTCATCCGTCCAGACTACAGGGTGTTTCAAAATCAGCAGGTTGCTCATTCGGAGAGGAGCTATTCTGAAGCTCTGCTTTGCATGACGGGGAACAGGCGACGATCTCCACCCTCCCGGCAAGATTCGCAATATCCAATGTAGAATTTTGAAAGAAACAGGAGCAAGAACTCTTCAAATACCCATGCTGTCCGTCTCGGAAAAACCCTGAGTTCACTCTCGATTCGCGATGCTGCCTTGGAAACATGTTTGTGAATCTTCCCCGTTGATTCTGGAAAGGACTTTATCGAGAGAGTTTACGAAATGATGTGCATTGTTATCATCAGGCTCGGCTGTAAATATATGTAAATATCACCCAAAAGTTATTAGTACTCATTGCTTACCTAAACATCGATTACAAACTCAGAGATTCGCCCGAGAGTTGAGCGAATAAAGAGACCATTAGAAGCAACCCCTGTTCATTATTTCTTCCGACGATTCGATGTTTTTTCGTGATCCCCGATTCATCCCCAGAGACACAAACAAGGTTGAGGAAGGAAATCGACAGCCGATCTTTAGAGTCATTCTCCTCCATTCACAAGCTGCGTGTCTTCATAGTTGCGCGATATTGGATTCTTTTGGTTTAGGCTTTCACAATGTTCTGTTTCACTTCCGCTTTTTCCGAACCTCTAGCGAAGCTTTGACATCGAACCGACTCGTTATGACATACAGGAGAGCTGAGTGCGATAACAAGTAGATGACACCAGCGACGAAGACATTGAGCAAATTGTCGCGCTGTTCAAACTCGTAATAGTAGGCTTGAACGAGCCACAAGAGCTGAGCCCCGATCCAAGCGAGGAAAATGAACACCCAAGCCAACATTCTGAAGGGCAATCGATGAAGGATGAGCGGTAGGAGGCAGAGGTACCATGTGAAGTACTGTGAGGTTGCCACTTTGTTGAAGAGTACGAAGCAGCAAGTTTGCACGAACAGCGCGAATGGCAGGTGATAGGCAGCGTAACGGAACGCACACCTCACCACGAGAATCATCTGGAGAACTGTCAGGGCAATCGATAGGACCCGCTTCATCATTTCTGAGTTTTCCGTGGGGTTTTCTGTGAGTAGCCGTAGGGGGTAGAAGATCGGCGAGAAATTATGCTGAATATCCTCTCGCGTCAGATGGTACAGGAACGTTTCCTGAGGGTGGAAATGCATATCAACTAATCCGTCCACACCATCTATGATTAAAATCGATTCTCGTAAGAAATTGTTGACCTACGTGTAGAAATTGGTGACCGAAGAGCCAGTAGAAGTAAGCTGTGGGAACTCCGAAGCCGAGCAAGGCCCCAAGTCCGAAACGGAGGCGCGCGGCGTTTGGCATGATCATGTCTTTCAGTCCGCTCGCAGAGGAGTACTTATTGGCCCAAATGTAGAAGGCGAGGCCGTAGATGACTGTGTACATTTTCATGTGGACCGAAAAGCCCCAAGCCAGACCACAGAGAAGATAACTCCGCTTTAGAGCCAGGAACAGCGACAAATGCACAAGACAGCACTGAATCGGCTCGAAGCTCCCCCTCGATGAAATCGCGAGCGTGAATGGATTGAGCAGCCACACCATGGCCGCTAGTTCAGCGTTGGTTCCGCGTCGGGCTTTGTCGAAGGAGACCATCGTGTAAATCAACCAGCCCGCCAGGACATCAGCTAGACAAAGCAGGATTTTCCCGCATATCGGATGGTACAATATATTGGGCGTCATGATGTAGGCAACAAGGGGCGTGTAGCGATAGGTGTCCCGATCGTACGGGGAGCCTCCATTGACCGCATGCTCAGCTCCGTCCGTGAAAACGTGGTAATCGACATCGGTGTATTTGACCTCGAAATTCGCATCATGGTATTCCGCGTAGAGACACAGTAGGATGCGCGAAGCGATCGCAACGAGGAATACACTCAGGAGTTTCGGCATCATGCTCGGGATTCTTTATGCTCAGGACTAGAAATCAAATTCTGGAATAATCTCCGTCGATCTCGTTGCCGCCAGATGTCTCCGAGTGGCCAACGGTGTCGGAGTCAACTTCTCGGGAGCCTCGATTACAGGCTTGTGTCGGTCTTTTGGAGTTTCTGTTTCAACTGCTGGTCTTTCAGGAACCCGGTACAGCAGCCGCTCTTCTCTTCCCACTTCTCACAGCACTTATCCATGTTGGCGAAAAATTTAAGACATGCCTCCTCTTTGAAGTTGTGCGCTGCAATCCGAAAAATCAGAGATCGGATTAGAAGCGATCCCAGGTCTGCAAATAAGGAGTAAAACAGCGAACCGACAAATAGAAGGAAAGGAGGATGTCGAACTGCGGCGAAAGTATCACGAAATCACTTGCTGGTCAACCACTCACTTCAGACACCCAAACCAATGTACCAATGCAAGCGGAGTATGGAGTCGGATAATTGGCTTCATAAAGCACTCGCGCGATATCGTGTTCACAGGTCTACGGTAATTCCTTTGTCGTAGAACTCAGTCACCCTCAGCCTCATTAAGATGAGCTTACCCTGCAGGCACTTCTGAATCGCGCAGGCTTCTTTCTGGCACGGGTCTCCCAGAGTCATCTAAATTTAGAATAGGCTTCTCCTCAGCAGCGACACACCACGAATACCTGTTCGAAGCCAATGACAATGACAAGACAGGGCACCGAGCATCGTCCGCGATGGTACTGTGTAGATCTCTTTTCATAAATCCACTGACGAGCGGCTCAGACGGACTACTCGTCGATCTAAACGGTCCGCAGGCATTGACGCCATGCCTCACAGAACGGAAACGCTTACCTTTTTCGGAGGATCAGTTCCCGAGAACCAGCGTCGATATTCGGAAAAATCGAATGTTGGTGGTGGAAATTTGTCCCGTCGAACTTCTGTTTGCATATAGAGCAGACGACGTCGCTGTCAGCTGAGCGATTCAGAGGCAGATTCTGTGGTGCGTATGCGACGCCAGAATCTGGAGCTTTTGAGTTGACATTGTGAACTTGATTCGGACTGTTTCGAATACAGTGAGTTCGCCAAAGCTCTAAGTAAGTTAGGAATGGTGCGAAGAGAAGCATTGAAGTTTTAGAGATCGAGCGGGGCACCGACGACGAGAGCCCGTCATCCCCTGATTGCGATTCTCGAGGGTCATCGTCAGCCGTAATTTAGCTTGGACATCTCATCCCATGAGCCTAAATATCGCTGCGTTCAACGCTCGACGTAGACACGCTCTCCAAGGCGTAAAGGGATATCGTCGGATGGACGAAATGGTGGATGGAACTCGCGACGCAGCTCCATGAAGACTCCGCTCGGATCAATAGAATATTTCCGAAGTTGGGCTTCCGCTCTCTCGCATCGCTGTCGGAATGACGCTTAGTTCTCCGCTGTTTCCAGATGAGTCTGCTGAATGCATTGTTTGGCTCTAAGCCGAAGAAGGAGAGGTCGGGCTCCACGACGTCTCTGCCACCAGTACCGCCGCCTCGAACGAAGGTTGACCACGATTTCGTTTTGCTCCAAGACTCAGACTTCAAGAAATCTCCTCAGCATCCGCCATATCCGAATCTTGGGAATCTCCACATCGGTCAAAGTAACGGTAAGCTCAATCGACGCTTCGAGGGCAGCCCGGCCCCGCAACAAATTTCATGATGGTAAATCGATCAGTGGTGTGCCTAGGACGCTCGAATCTCGCGTACCTTCAGCAGTCGATCCAAATTTTCGCAGGGAATCCCGGCAGACCTTCGCACATGGACACATTAGACAGAGTACCTTTCAAGCTCGGAGATAAAATCAGCAGTTCACGAGGAGATGTCCAATCACGAGCCCTCGATAGATTACTCAATGAAATAGGTCACAGATTGGAGCAGTACCAATATGACTTCGAGGTGGAGAACAGCGTTCTCAGCGCTCGATGGGATTGATCTGGCTCAGTGTCGTCTTTCTCGAAATACCCGCCCAGAACTACGTTGACTCTGCCGGCCCGAGCGTTTCAGGGCTGCTTGTTCCATAAGAAAGATGTATATTTTCCCAGCGAGGAACGTACAGTGCAATTAAAGAATGTTCGTAACTTAAAGAGAGCCTCTTTTTCGAGATTCAGGAGTTTCAGCCACCCTAACAGCTGTTCACGGAGCAGTGGTTTCCTCCGAGTCCAACGACCAGCCCTCAATAAATCGGAGGATTGAGGTCCGCTCCGAGGCCAATCGTTATTCACATTATTGACACGAAACATATGCTCTCTGTCGCTCTGGGATCTTAATGTTGCGAGTTGCGATTAGATATCCGGCATGCAATCCTTTCGACTCAGACTCTTCGGAAGCGTACAACGCTGATAGTGCATACGGATGTGGACGGAGAATGGGGAGGGGGGTGGGGTCGGGCTACGACAACATGATCCCGCTACGAAGCGAAATTCGGAGTCGAATAGGCTCGAAATGAATCACGGTATGGATCAGGAAATAACCGTACGATCAGAGGGTGCTCGACGCGGAAACTTGCTGCGTTCATTCCCTAAGGGAACGCGCCTCCATAGGCGACTCGACTCTATGAATCGGTTCGCTTCCGTAGTCGGTAACGAAGAATATTCTGGACTCTGTCCAGCGCATCAGCAAGAGACGCGGTGCATCGGAGGCTGCGCAAGCGTGCCGATGTCCTAGGGACTGCTCGAAGCTGATGAGATGAGAATCCATTAGATATTCAATTAAGAGAGGCGTCTCGATGAACGCGCCCCATTGAGTTCGCCTGGCAGTCTCCTCTCTCCGATGACGTCCTGGAATCATCTCGTTTGCTTCTGGGCCCGATAAAGACAGAGTAAGATACAGGCCAACAGTATGGGGAAACCATTCATGCTTTGAATCAGCTCCAACCTTTTGAGGACGCGGAACTACGCTCGAACTCACATTGAATCACCATCGAACCAACATGCGGTGCCTTCTCAATCGGATTGCCCGAATTCAGGCGAGAGAGAGAGAGCGGGAGGGGACGATTCGGAGAGAAAGGAGCTAAGGGAACAATGAAATCGGCGCCGGTCCCCCGGGCGACACCTAGGCGGCTGGGGCTCCTCCCGTATCGGGTCGATAGAAGATGATTGAAACCATCGAGTCCATCTCGAAGATACATATTCGAATTCCTCGAACATTGAGCGACCTTTTATTCCTCGATGAAGAATGAAGATGAGCTGATATGATGCAGTGTTTCGTCTGCATAATTACCAGACTAGTCGCACGGGATCTGGCCGCAGAGTCATAGGTCAAAGCTCTGATTGCGGCAGGAGGAGCGAAGCTCCAGCTCTGTCTCCAACCCACTCCTGTTGGATCGTAAAAACTAGGCCGGGCCGCAAGGACGTCGCATCGTCACCAAATATTCTCTGACTCCTATCGATTTGCCAAACGATCTCTCCCCCTGCGGAAGCGAGGAAAATGTGTGAAGGTCAGTTAGGCGGGGCTGGCAAATAGACACTCGGAGAAAGAGCCAGACGGGTCTACGGAGCCGCGAACTCGAGTGAAGGCCATGGGAACCGATTTCCCATTCGGGCCATCCTGACCATCGAGCAGACGACACCCGGGATCGGTTCTACACGACAGCCGCCTCGGCCGAAAGCCGATTGACTGAAAGTCTCGACCTCCGTGTCAGAGATGGCACGTGAATCGTGCCTCGCCGACCGTCCCGAATCCACCGAGATCGAAATACAGAAGCGGGTACAGTCTTTCCAAGTAGTGCTGAGTTGACTCGTGCCGTCATGATGCAATCCACCCGCGAAGAACCGTGGAGTGACCACGATCGGGTGGCTCCATTAGCGTCTGACTCTGGAGATTGGATTCGCCACGGTCAACTTCTGCTCCCCCTCATTGGAGTCGAAAATTACCACTGACGATCGATTGGCTCTCCCCGAGTGCGATTGCGTTCCCCAATGTTCTCTTACTCACTCAGTCAGTCACTCTCATCCAAGTTTTCGTCCCGAGAAATCTGTGACGATGGAGCTGAGTGCGAATTCACGAGTCAGGTGAACCGAGCGGCTAATCGAGAGATATCACCGGATCTCAGCAAACTCTACCTCCTAGGCCCGATCGAAGTCGCGGTCTTTGAGTTTCATCCTAGTCAGTTCCGTGAACTTTTCCTCGCTAGAGCTCTGCGGTGGGAGTGAGCGTCTGCGGAGAAAGCTGCATGGGAAGCCTCCGTCCGGGAGGAGATCGATGGGAACTCCCGCTGACGTCGGGGGTTCGCACAGAATTTTTTTTTCGGGAGGGGGGAGGGTAACTCGAGATCCGGAGGGGGCCTGACGACCGAAATGATGACGCTTCTCCTCGGGTTCCATAGTCTAGCCTTACGGGCAAAGGATTCTGGCCGACGTGAAACCGTTTTTCCCACGTCGAATCTCCAGAGAAACCATGCGGGCGCTATCTTGAGCAGTTGCACACACATGAGCGATCTCGGGAGAGGCCCCACCCTACCCGCGATCGAGGCTCAAAAGATTGAATATAAAGAGAGATCAAATAAATGGATACCAAATTAAATTATCAATGTTTCTCGAAAGCCTCCGCTTACGGGACTCACACACTCAGTGGACGACTCTGCTCTATGTCCGGTCGATGAGGACAATCCATCGATCATAGAGCGCATAGTGAATGGAAGCTTCTCCTGGTTCGACGGCGCCTCAAGGTATACGAAGAGCTACTAGCCTCCCTCCTCGACTGACCGAAGGAACTCTTGACTCGAACGAGGTCACAAGGAAGCCACCCGCGAAGAGCGATTCCGATGACTGACTGGGCTCGTGAGAATTGAATCCATGCCGAGAGCGCGACTTCTACGGACTCTCTCATTGAAAATCATGTCGGGAGTGAATGGGTACCCGCTTTACGGCGCGCCCTGCGGCGTCCCACGTGGAATTGACGGAGCACTCGAGCGAGTAGATCCGAGTCGGCGGCGTTCGCACATAATTGCGGAGCTTCCATGTATGTATCTCCTTCTAGAGAAGCGGTTCCCAACCTTTTTGGCTCCGCGGCTCCCTAGCGAACCCAGAATTCCCCCGCGGCTCCCAGGATACCCAGTGCCCACGCGGCTCCGGCGGCTCCTACCTACTCTCCCTTCTTTTTCCCCTAAAAGGACCATTCGCAGCTCAATTCCGGCAACTGAGGCGGATGCAGCGGACTCTTCCGAGTATGAGAAATCAGAGCGAGATATTCACTGAGAAGACAACTTCATTTCATTTGCTTATGGTTTCCTTCCACAATCCTCAAGATCTCGGCTACCAACATCACAAGTCGTCGAGAACCCGGCACGTCACAAGGATTCGACGTAGAACCCGGCACGTCACAAGGATTCGACGTAGAGCCCGGTACCGACGCAGAAGTGATCTTTCAGTGAGATGGTTGCTCCTGTTTGTCTCTCATGAGCTTTTCTAGACGCGGTGTAAGATGACTTTCTGCCAGTCGAAAAGCTGAGTGAACATCGAGTCTGTTACGGTATTTCGTCTTGATGACCGCCAGCGAGGAGAATGATTTCTCACACACTTAACCGTGGCAGATGAAGTCGATCCGTTTCGGAACCTTCTCTCGGAATTGACAAACCCTGACGGCCCGGACCTACACCAGAAATTCGTCAGCGGCTCCCCCAGAAAAGTCCAGCGGCTCCCCCAGAAAAGTCCTGGGAGCCGCGGCTACCAGGTTCGGCGGCTCCCCGAGAAATGTCCCGCGGCTCCCTTAGGAGCCGCGGTTCCCAGGTTGGGAACCGCTGTTCTAGAGGGACGATATCGGCAGTCGGGAATGAATATTCAAATCACTGAGCTAGTCGCTCGATCCGGTAGCCAGATGAACTCAGTGTTTGGATCTCCGGATATCTCGCATAAATAGTCGCGTCTCCAAATCCAAGTCGATTCTTTCGGACAACGATGAGCTCAGCATTTTCAGCCGCACTGAAGTGCGCTACAGATTTGCTCGCCGTCAGTACCCCGGAAGTCTATGAACGGTTTCTCCAAGCAGCTCCAAGAGGGTTTCAGACTCGATACGCGGTCGACGGCTGTCTTAGAGCGTCCCCAGATGACTTCACGTACTCGTCCAGAGTCGGTCGCGGCTGTTTCGGAACAATCTACCTGGTCATGCATCGCAACGGCAGAATATTCGCGATGAAGGACCAGAGGTGCGCTGCAGTGGATGACAGAGCTGTGAAGGAAAGAAGAATTTCTCATGCTCTCGACTCCCCTTTCCTTGTGAAAACCTATTACGCATTCGAAAAAGATCTCAGCTACTATACTATCATGGACTACGCGGAGTGGGGTAGTTTGAAAGAACACGCTCAGACAATTCGGGATTTCAAGTCCGAAGAGCTTCTCAAGCTAATATCGGCACAGGTCGTCTTAGCGTTGGAGTACATGCACGCTTGCTTTTGCGTCCACATGGATCTGAAACTGAACGATATCCTTCTGTTCTGCGACGGATACGTGAAAGTCGGTGATTTCGGTGTCGCTCAAGCTCTCGGAGACGTGATCTTCGATTTCGCGGGCAAACGAGGGAACATCGACCAGCAAACATCGAGAACTTTGATTGCCCAAAAGGTTGCCATGGATTGGTGGGCTCTCGGCTCGCTCATCAACGAGCTGTTGCCCGACTCTGGGGGTTTGCCTGCCGGGCACTATCCGAAACCTGCCGGAAATGATGTGACCGACCTCTTGCGTAAGCTGCACGAGGCGAGCATTTTAGAACGCATTGGAGTGATGAAGGGCGGCTCGAAAGATGTCAAGGATCACGCCTGGTTCAAGGATGTGGACTTCATGGAAGTCTACCAGAAAAAAATTCCAATGCGAGAGAAATTACCGCCGAATCTGGAGCGACGGGACTTGATTCGTACAGCGAAATTCACCTCGAACTTCCCGACTACAGATTATTTCGAAATCTAATCTTTGAGCGAGCGATCACTGAACCGTACCGGATGAGAACCCGAGAAATGAGGGGGAGAAAGAAAATAAAAAAACTGATACGGCTTCTCTTGGTAGATGGAACCGACTTAATTTAAACGGAATAGCGATTTGGGACAAACAATCGGAAAAACCAAACAACACCGAACTATGCAGGGATTCCGATCGGTGACGAGAGCGCAGTGGCCCTTGTCTCCCTTAGAGCGGGATGTTGTGGTGGAATCAGCGCTTGATACTTACCACAGAATTGCGTGGGCAAAGATGTACCTAGTTGCCCCGGGAATCAATATCCCTGTCTTCATGAGGAACTACCCGTGAGGGCGCTCCACGCTCAGTAGAGCTGTGATGACATAATTGTGGCGAGTCTTTCCATTTGTTGAAAAAATTAATGATAACTGGAGAAACACGAAAATGTTGCGGAAAGCATGTGTATAAGCAGCTCGGGAAGTAGGTATATCTCGACCTCACCGAGGTGATTGCGCATCGATTGGAAAAATTTTGAAGCCTCTTCGGAGAAGGAAAGCGCCACTAATTGGCTCGGTGACGGACAGTCAGACATGGCGATCTTACTCAATAACGGGATACCTCACTCAGATTTGGAAAAGAGCCCCGACGCGACTGATCGGGAACTTTCCAATAAGCAGCCCCGAAACTTTTTCTGGCGAAGAACCTATTTTGGTCTATCGCACCGTCTTCAGACGCGATGTCGACCTTAAGCTTAGATGCACCGAAAGGGCTTGCGAGTGCATCGGTGAATGTCCCAGAATCCATTCGATCAGAGCTCTCTCGAAATTTTGGATTCTTTCAAATGATCCACCTTGATTCCTATCAGAGAATTTCAGCTGGATGCCAAAAGAAGGATACGGCTAAGTGAGATTTCTACCCGAAAAAGCCTCGTGACGTTCACTTGCAGCAGAGTGAGTGCATTCGATTTCCCCACGAATGCTTCCTTTCCTCTCCTTTTCCTCTCCCCCGATTTTTCGAGATTCATCTCGTCCAGAACGACACACTGAATAACTCGATTTCGGAAACAGGATTCCGTCGCGGATCGGATCGAAACCTGAAGCGGGCCGGATAGGGTCCGCGGGACGTCACTTGAACATCCCCACCGAAGAGCGATCATTGCATATCTAGTTGGCACCTGAGCTCAGCTCGGACAGCGTCGCGGCAACCGAATCCTCTCTCCTGGAATGCAAGACCGATGATACTCATCCATTTTTACCCACAATTGGTCCTCGCGGCATCTGCAAAGTTCGCGGTAGAATACCTGCAAGAGCTCACCGTGGCTCTACAATGATGTCGTTCAACTCGGTGTAGCACTACTCGCATCCGGCGAGTTCCTTTTTCGTTCCATGGACCGACAGCAGACTCTCCTGATTCCCGCGAGCCGTTATGCTCCGAGACGCTCTTACTGACCGGATTCTTCCCATATCTATCCTTCAATCCTTTTTCATTACCTTCTCGTCAATGGGGTATTGTTGCTACCTAGGCCCCGGTTTTTGTGCATTCCGAGTGTCTTGCTCAAATCTAAAAGCGGTGAACAGCTTCCCGGACAGTCTGCGAGCACAAGCAATTCACATGAGATTGAGCGCAGTTGCTCGAGGGGGCTGTGAACTTTAATCTCATTCGCCATGAGTTGCCTCCCCTTACCCTCCTCGGTTTACGGATCCGAAGCGGCCCAATCTGTTCGGGCGCGCTCCATCGGGTCGCTGTCAATGGGAGCGGCCATACTCATCGAAGAAGTCGAGCAGTCTCATTCGGAGCTCAAAATCGGGCACAAGATCAGTCGGATGGGGTCGCGGTCGGTATGAGCGACGCAGATAACATTAATGAATCGACAAACTCGGGCTGAATACTTGAGAGGAACTCCTGGCCTTGCCCGTTCGGAAAGCTCGCAAGATACATTTTCTCGGGCTCATCGTCAATATTGGAGATTTCAAGGCGCCTATATCCCCCCGCGAGTCTCCTGCCGCGCGAAGAACCCACAAGACTCGTGCCCCCCGGGTTGTCGCGGAACGGCTCGCGCATTGACCGGCTTCCGAATTCGCCGTCCCCGGTCAGCCACATCCAGGAAGGGTTTATCGCGCAGCAACTCCGCAGATCTGCAGAGTCTCTCTTGCCAGCTCCGAATATTATCTCGAAGTCCAATCCAGCGGGGAAGGAAACGAGACCGGGGTCGTCCACTGTTTACCTCTCTACTTTTGACCTGGAGTTCGAGGGTTATCCCACTCAGCCTTGTTAATCCTCGCTCCTGATCTCGAGCGCTGATAATTCAAGGCAGTTCTGCCGAGAGACAGATTGCTGCCCGAAAACTCCAGCTCGGAAAGCGTCGACACTCGTCAGGATTCTGCCGAGAACTCAATTTTGAGCGCGTAGAGATCACGAGTCGACAGGCGTCTATTCCCATCTGGAAAAATCAGATCAGCAAACGAGCCCCACCGATCGGATGGGTAGGTGTTGGAGAGGAACAAGTGTCCAGTCAGGTGGTGACTATGTATCATGTCCCGAGATGTAGTCGAACCGAAGGCGGAGATGTTTCCGAACTGAAAACTCAATGGGGCAAAGCGCTGGAGGTACCCAATTGAAATTTTATCAAATCGAAATATTCATGCGACCTTTTCCTCATGACGGGAACCATCATTCGTCCAGCCAGACGGCTTATCCGACTGCTAGCCTGATCGCCCCTTGAACAGATTCTCCCCGGAAAATTCCGAAGTCGGCGAACGCCTTCGGGGAGATCGCCAAACTAGAAATTCACCAGCTAACGGCGCGCTGTCTACAGTCGAACGGCAGAAAGACGGTCGGAGGAGAATCGGAATGAAATTCTCTGCGGAGCCGGTGGAGTGTTTGCATCCGGTTTCTGAGAGTTCGCGAAGAGTGAGTGCTCGATAGCCAGTCACCTGGAAGACCCTGCTATGCACTCCGAGAGTCGGCTTGGCTCGCGAGAGCAAACACGGCTCTCGACGGCGACGACAGCAACAACGACAACGAGTTGTGCAGGATCAGGAACTAGAGAAAAGGACCGACCGACTCAATAAGAATTTCCATTTCAACAGAGCACACAAGATTCGCGTTCACTGTCGCTCGTGTCTAGGTTCGAGCTCCGGGGCCTCGCCGGATTCGGATCGAGCGCTGATTGCTCGGAACGGCGCAGTATTCTGCAGCTCGAAAAACTGAAGAAGCGAAAATTCTCGAGAGCGTCACATCTGAACTCATTTTCCGATACTGCTTCCGGGAGCTGTTCGGATGCCGAAATCAATGTCCCCCGATGAGGAATAATGAATAGAAACTGATGATCCAGATTGCGGAGGAACGAGCTCGCGATACATGTGTGAGGGTGACTCTCCCTGAGAATGACTAGATAACTGCTGTCTACAATGCTCGCGGAGCCTATAGCAACGGTGAGGAATAAGGCACACGAACTCGATGCGATACAAGGGTGACACATACGTATTCTGATCGGGAAATCACGTCCCGTACTCCTTTTCTACGGACCGTCTGGGGAAGCATGAAATCTCGTCGCTCCCCCTCCCAAGGAGTTTAAGAATTTCTCCTGGAACTTGCGGAAAGACCATCATCCGGGTCGTTTCTCGTCATCGGGAACATCGAGGAGCTTGATCGCCCCTCTCTACAACAATGTCGCTCCGAGTCTGGAAACTCGATTCGACCGTAGGCTCCATCCGGGCGCCGCACTCCACTATATCGTTGAGTGCAACGTGACCAGAGTTTTCGAATATCACTCGAGAAGAATTCCTTCCGAGGGAGAAGTGAGAGTTGATTTCCCGAGCCTTGAGAACGGATGTCGAAACAGAACTAATGACGAAGAAAAGGTCGCGTCGGGCATAGAAGCTTCTGCGACTGCCGTCGAATACTCTCACAGATGAAACAAACTCACACAAGCATACGCAGCCAGTTACAGATGCCGAATCAGCATCATTTCCGAGTCATTTGTTCCGAACGGCCGCCATCGGGACATTCTCAGCGGTGACGACGACGACGCCGACGTCTCAGGGCTTGGGCACGTGTGGGAAGGGAGAACACGGGGTCGGGACGAGACCATGAAAGCAAGACGAGAGAACCAAAGTGACAGAGATAAAAGCCGCGCAGGACCGATGAGAGTTTCGGAAGCCGCTGGAATTCAACATTCTCCCTCCGGAAGAAGCTCGAGGCCGGAGACCCGCGAAGCGAGTCCAGATTTGTATCAATTCCACGACGGTCAAGGCTCCGGCGGAGCACAACGTCATTCCGCGAATAGTGTCGACATGGCTGGCGATGAGGTTACGCGCCGAGCACTCGCTAGAATATTTGACTCATCCGGAGCAATATTGGGCGAGACTCCGCTCGGAAACACCTCTGCGAAATGGTCGACGGCGAGTCTCGACCGATGGTCAGGCCATTATTTACTCGATGGTGTCAATTATATCGACGAGCATGCGTGAACACGGTATCGCGCAGACTCACTCTCAACTTCGCCGATGGCCTGGAAAAATATTGTTTCCTTGGCTGGGATCAGGTTGGCGATAAAAAGAGAGAGATTTCGATTATTGCACTTCGGACCTCGATATCCTTTCCTTTCCATGGAAAAATGTCGCAGCGGAGCAGTACTGCGAGAAGACTCGTTCTCAAAAACCACCTTGAACGTGAATTCTCCTCCCCGAGTCGAGCAGAAACAACCGAGGCGCGAACCCCTGCCCGAGTCCTGTCCGGACGCTAGCCCCTCTTAATCTGTCCTCGGTAAATAACCCCTTAGAGGAGCGTATGCGGACTGCTGCTGCCGCTTTGGAGTCTGAACTCCACCTGGTCGGGAATCAACAGGGCGGTGTCGAGCACGTGGGGAAGCGCGCCGACGACAACGAGTGGTTGGACGACCATCTGAAGGGTGATTAAAACGAGTTAAATATTCACTCATTTCACCCTTAGCTCGCTCTCAAAAGACCGCACCGCAGCGGTGGGATCAGCGACGGCGGTGCCGCCGGTGTAAG